ATTATTCCACACTTCATTTTCTTTTCAGTTTTTCCAGGAAAAAAATGGCTTTGGAAAAATAAAACAGAAAAAAAGCTATGTTTTCCCCGTTTTGGGTTGCCCTGCCCATCTTTAGCTGTACCAGATGCAGTACATTGCACACTAGGCTGAATTTCAGTGAATTTGCAAGAGGTGATATTAAATATAGAACTTGAAATCTTAAGGGGACTTGCGTAGAAGAAAGGTTTAAAGAAACTTAAAAAAAGATTCTGAAAAAAGCTCGAAAGAGAAAGCGTTTAAAGAGACAATTTTAAAAAAAGAAAAGTGTGGTCCTTATGTATGTCTTATAAAACAGTCTCCTTTGTTTCAGGCAAAAACAAAACAAAACTTAAAAAAAAGATGAAAATGTTGTGGCACTTGTAGACACAGTTGTATAATTATGTATGCAATGCGAAGATATGTCTTTCTGACATATAAAGCCCTAAAATTGCTATATTTTACTGTGAACAAGTCTGCTTCTTCAGACCAAATCTATTTCAATTTTTCATTTTTGTGGAGGAAATATGTTTGTATCCCTAAGAGGTTTTGCTAGCTAGCTGCATACATCAGTGAGTTGGGTACTTGACTGGGTAGCCAGAGTTTGGGTGTTCAGTTCTCCACAGTGCCAGTTGAGGAACAGTCAGCCTATGGAACCTCAACCCAGTTAAGTCCTAGAGCAGCCCTAGAAGAAGGGAATGGTAAACCACTTCTAAAGTGGGTGCCCTTTACACAGAAAACCCTGAAAAGTGTTGCCAAAAGTCAGAATGTACCCAAAAGGACAAGGTTTTGTATTATTAAGAGTGTTGGAGTTACTCTGCTGTGTGTTTTTCATTGAATACATAGAGTACAGTGGTGTCCCGTTTGACGACAACCCCGTTAGACGCTGAAATCGCTTTACGATGACTTCTTTGCAATTGCTATAGCGATCGCAATACGATATTTCTGTGGGGTTTTTCGCTTTACGTTGATTCGGTCCCTGCTTCGGGAACCGTTTTTTTGCTGGACGACGATTAAAAACAGCTGATCGGCAGTTCGCAAAATGGTTCCCCGCTGTTTTCCGGACCGATTGTTTGCAAGACAGCGATTGAAAATTGCTTCCCCTATGGAGGATCTTCGCTGGACAATGAGATATTTTCCCCATTGGAACTCATTAACCGGTTTTCAATGCATTCCAATGGGTTTTTTTCACTCGACAACGATTTCGCTTAACAGCGATTTTCCTGGAACAGATTATCATCGTCAAGCAGGGCACCACTGTAATTCTTAAAACAATATTTAGATAGAGCATTGAAAAGTTATTTTTGTGACTACAGCTCCCGTAATCTGGTGAAGAGATTCTGAGAGTTATAGTCCGAAACAGAAACCATTTCCATGCTCTCTGTTTAGTTACATGTCAGCTTGACTTAGCTAATTGGAACAGTAAAACTGCTTGAGAAATGTCTCAGTAAAAGGTACACAGCTTTATTGAGAGTACAGCTTATAATATAAGAATTCGAAATTTAGGCTTGATTTGCCTTTTATTCTACAGAACTTATAGATGGAGGCTCTGCACACCATCTATTTCTAAAATATATATAAACTGAGGCTCAATCCAGACAGCTCAGAAGTGCTGCTGGTAGGTGCTCCGCCAGATAGGCTACAGGGCTATTTCCCTGCGTTAGACGGGGCTACACTCCCCCTAAAGGGCAGGGTCCGCAGCTTGGGGGTGCTCCTTGACCCGAGTCTGACCTTGGAAGGTGGACTCAGTGTCCAGCGGTGCCTTCTTACAGCTGCGGAGAGTATATCAACTTCGCCCTTATCTGGATGAGCGGAGCCTGGCAACAGTCACACATGTAACAATAACAACCAGACTGGACTACTGCAATACACTACATGTGGGGCAGCCGTTGAAGACGGTCCGGCAACTGCCACTGGCAGAGAACTGGGCTGCGCGGCTGGTAAGTGGTGCTGCCGCACAGACTCATCACGCCGGTTCTGAAAAATGTACACTGGCTGCCGGTTGCTGCTTGGGCCCAATTCAGAGTCCTTACTTTGACATATAAAGCCCTAAACAGCTTAGGACCTGGTTACCTTATTCCGTATGAGCCTGCCCGTCCTCTAAGATCAGGCCAGGAGGCCCTTCTGAAGGTGCCATCCCTGAAAGAGGTGAGGGGGATGGCATGTTGAAGTAAGGCCTTCTCTGCTGTTGCCCCCCAACTTTGGAACACCTTCCCTATAGAGATTCACCTGTCTCCAACACTTTTGGCTTTTTGGCACCAGGCAAAGACCTTTCTGTTTAGCCTGGATTTTAATTAAATAGTATTCTTTAGCTGGCCATATGAGCATCAGGATGTATTAATATTAATGTTTTAATGATTGTTTTTAATATGGGATATCATTATAATATTGCCTATTTTTAATGTTTTTAAAGTTCTAATATTGTACGATGCTCAGAGACCACTGGTAATGACGGGGCTAAAAAAAATCTTGTAAATAAATAAATATTTAAATTACATGCATGCAGGTGCATCTGAATTGTCCAGAGACTACTTTAATACATATAGCTGATATTTTGGCCAGGATTGCTGCTGTAGATGATGGCCTTTCACTTCTTCTTCATGGAGAAGAAAAGTCCCCTCTCAAGGGGGGTACTAGGTATGTAAACACATTTTAAGCAATAATGATAGTTATCACTCTTTTCAGTAATTGCTCCTGTATATGCCTAAGAGGTGCTGTAATGACTAACTTGTGAAGTAAGAGTAGCTTGCAAGTCGGAATGATGAATAATTTTGTTTAGTCTGCATTTTCCGGTGAACTGATAAAATTTTCTTTCTCCAGGCTAATACGTGAATCAGAGCACAGTTATTTTTTTTCTGGCTGCTCTGTTGGCTGATCTCTGTGACAATTCTGGGCTCAAAAATGCAAATAAGCACTCAACAACTTGCAAACAAAAATGCACATATTAGCTAAATCTGTATATAACAATGTGTTATCTTTGTTTTTTGCACTTAAATTTTTTGAACTATGGGACAGACCTGTGGTTTAATATCTGAAAACTGACATGGATGGATTACCAGTATTCAGATTCTGCCATCCTCATTATATATGTTCATGCACTAACAGAGACTCTTGATTCTCTGCAGTGTTTTAAGTGCCATATGTAGGCCAAATGTAGAATTCTAGAGGAGAGGACAAGCCAAATTCTTTACCAAGAAAAACAGAAATGTCTTATGGGGTGTGAGTTAAGGAATATATTCCCCTATACTAATTGGGTTAACACATTGTACAGGGTTTGAAAACAAACGTTGAAATACAGTGGTGCCTCGCACAACAATGTTAATTGGTTCAAAAAAAAAAGTTCTGTGAAAACATCGTTCTGTGAAACACCATTTCCCATAGGAATGCATTGAAAACCGGTTAATCCGTTCCAATTGGAACGGATTGCCGTCCTTAAGTGAAAATCGGCATAGGAAACATCGTTGAGGGAAACGCGGTTCCCCAATTGAAATGCATTGAAGCCGACTCAATGCATTTGAATGGGTTTGCGAAGTCCCTTTTCGCTCCTGTAAAAGTGTCTTAAACTGTTTGAAGCCTGTTTTAAATTGTTGCAGTCGTTAGCCCACCTCCTGAAACCTATGCGAACTTAATTTGGTGTTGTTCTGAGTCTTCGTTAATTTTTGGTTAATTTTTTTATTCTCCATTGAAAGCCATTGAACGGTCTGTCCAATGGCTTTCAATGGAGAATAAAAAAATTCACCAAAAATTAACGACGCCTCAGAACAACGCCAAATTAAGTTTGCATACGTTTCACAAGCTGGACTATCGATGCCAAGCATTTAAAACAGGTTTCAAACAGTTTAAGGCACTTTTAAATGAGTGAAAAGAGACATCGTTGTGTGAAAATTCCCCATAGGAAACATCCTTGTGTGAGGCAGCAAATTTTTCAGAAAAAGCCATCGTTGTGTGAATTTATCAGTGTGTGAGGCCCTCGTTGTGCGAGGCACCACTGTAACTTGCTAAGGAAATGTACCATTAATTGGTTCTTAACAAAGAGCAGCCATTGCTGGTTTTCAGGAATGGTGTTGGTCTAGATGCAATGATGATTAAGCCAAAATAACACCTTCCTAAGCCCATTTTGGAAAGATTTTACAGGGGGGTTGCAATTTGTACCTATGGAAATTTAATTTAAATTTGATGTGAGCCATCCAGTTTGGACTTTTCTTGCTGCTACTTTTTGTTGTTGTTGTCCTTGTTGAGGAAGAGCCTTGCTTATGAATGGTCTATTTGGGAGGGGAAGGATGAGAGGATTTTTCTTGTGATGTTTTTGCTGTCATGAGAAGATTCTATAGATATTGTCTTTAACCTGTTTTAGTTTAGTGCACGTGAGCGGAAGATGCATTAGCATTTCAGTTACTCATTGAAAGTGATCCTCTTTATAGCACTGAAGCAAGTCAGTTAAATACAATGTTTTTGAAATATTTCATTGTTTGTAGCCTTAGGGGTGCTTATACAATCGGACAATTTACTAAGAAGCTTCTTGATGAAGAATTTTCCATTTTGTCCAATTCTGAGATGTTGCCCGTCCTCAAAGGCGCTTTCATTTTTGTGTGCCGCCAGATGTATAGTACCTGTGAAGGCTTAGAGGTGCTGCTGCCTTATCATTTACATCAGTCTATTGTGGAGGCTTGGAAAAAGGTACTTCTACACTTATTCTGCAGAGTGAAATCCCATAAAAATAACTGATGGCATATGAACAAAAATGTTTATACTTAAGTTGCATTGTGATATAAACAATATGGTAAAAATGGCATCTTCTATGTACAGTTAACATTATAATGTACCAAAGGTAGATGAGACCTGCTTATAGCTGAGAGGTCTATGATTTGCCTTGAATATGTGTAGTACACATAGTTAAAGATAGACACATATGATCCTTACAGACTTTGGGAAATACTGAAACAGCAGTATGTAGGTGTGATGTATGTAATCTGCCCCGAATGAGCTTGCAAGAGTTCATAGTCATTATAGAGATGTTTGTGAGCTATTGTTGGTCATGAATGTCCAGTGCATCATTGCCTACAAATGGATCCAGAGTACTGTTGGTCTTCAGAGTTATCCTAAAAGTATTTAGTAAATAACTTTGTGATCCTCGTAATAAACTCTTTTTGAAGACTTAATCAGATACATCAGTGTATTTTGTGCTTAATGATCAAGGGCAGAATCTTTTTAACCACTGAGGGAAGGTACCTGTGGTATCTCTGTCCAGACTCTGATTCATCTGTGTAGGTCATGCAGAGATTATGGAGCATTTAGGAAACAACGGGTTTTTGATTGTAGAAGGAAATGCTCAGTGGTTGGTTGCAGAAGCGAAATAACAGAGGGAGAGAGTCTTCATTAAATCTAAATCCAGTTGCTAGCCCCAGCTAGAGTAGACTTCTTGAATTAATTAGAACTTGGTAAGTAAACACTTATGTAAGTTCCATCAGTTCAGTAGGTCTGCTGTGGTTGGCACTAACAGTTAGCTTGAGATCAGAATTATTGATGTCTTGCTTACACTGTAATTTGTCTAAATTTTTTGCAATTTGTTTTTGTTTCATTTTGACAGACTAGTTTGCTTTCAGAGAGAATTCCTACGCCTGTAGCTGGCACAGACTGTGCTTCAACAAGAAGCCAAGAATCACAGAGCTTGTTAGTATTTTTTTTTTTCAAAATTATCCTGTCTATATGTATGATAAAAGTGCTTGAATCTGCAATCATGGAATTTAAATAACATTTTAAAACTCAGGATTCTTGGTTCTTGTCATCTTTCAGAACTAGATCAAAGAAAAACTTAATAAAAAATAGTATATGAAAATCATATGTACTGTGAGCTTAGTGGTTTAGATACCTGCCTATGGAGCCAGAGATTGGGAATTCAATTCCCCACTGTGTCTCCAGGGAGAAGAGCCAGCTTGTGTGGTCTTGGGCAAGCAGCACTGCTCCAGGATGCCCCCAGAAAAAGGGAATGGTAAACTGCTTCTGAGTCTTCTCTACTTGGGAAATCCTGAAAAGGATTGCCATAAGTCAGAATTGACTTGTTGGCACATGGTGATGATTATGATGTTTATGGTTATGTACTGTTAAGTTATCCATGTGTGTATGGAGACTTTCACCCAAGCATTAGAGGGCTGTGGGGACTAAGAAGCAATATTACATATGTGGTTGTAAAGTCCCAAGGCAGCCAGTTTTTGGAATGAGGTAATAAATGATGGATCAGACATCACACATTGAAAGGTATAGTATGGGTTTTTACTACTTTTGTATTCGCTGGTGAAAACAAAGGACTACTGCATGAAAATTCAATACTTTCTTTGCTTCTAAATGAAAATTGTTTGGTGGACTTGATGACACCTCTTGACTATCAAGAGATAAGACTTTCCCAGCCAACAGTTTTAAACCCCCCAGAGAACAGCCACTCTATTCATGTGAAAAAGTTTGCTTGGGCACATGAAAGCTTATGAAAAATGAAACTAGTTAGTCTTAAAGATACTGCAAGACTTCTTTTGTGCTACAGCAGGCTTACATGTCTACCATTCTCTGAAGGATTCCTTATCAGCTCCTCTAAATAAATCTTTGCTACTGCTTCCTGCAGAAGATTAAGATTGCACTGTTTGTGCTTGAATATTATTCTTTGCAGGACTTTTGTATCTCTTTGTAGTTCTTATCATTTCAGGCTCTTATACTGCTCTAACTAGTACTGCAGTTTGAAAATGACTAGTGCAGGCACTTGAAATTGACAAAAGCAACAAAAAGATCTGCACAAGCAAGATAGGCCTGTCAAATTTAATCTTGTGCAGAAAATTGGCAAGAAGAGGTAGTGGAGGTGGGAGGTGCAGTGATTGACATTTGTCCTTGCTTCTGCTCCATGAAATTTTGTAGTCTCCATGAGCGTCCTGGAGGGTTTTGCTGACAGGCAAAATGTCAAAAACAAAACAAAGTAAAAAAACCATGGGCTGGCAAAAATGGCCAAGTACCCATTACACCCTTAGCCAAGAATTCATCCTGGAATCTTCAACATGCAAAGCATGTGCTCCATCACTGGGCCACATCCATTGCATTAAAACAGAAAATGCATTGCAGTTAATTTTCATATGCCTTGTTTATTCTATGTAAGATGTATTATCCAAGGCAATGAAGACATCACAATGTATACGCATATATTAATTATAGCTGCCCCCCTCCATTATATTTAAATCATTTTAGCTGCCATTTTTCTTTATCGTTTTTTGGAATGTCAGCATCTGCTGATTGTTTACAAAATGGAGTGAGTCGTTATGCTGTCAAGCTACAGGACACCAAATAGTTTTTGTAAATATATTGGTTAAAATGAGGTTTCCTCAGAAGAAAAATAGATCAGTATAGAGACATACATTTTTTAAAAATCATGCAGCATGCATTATGAAGTCTGTGCTTAATAGCCTTTAGCATATGCAAAAGACGTTTTGAACAACGTGATTAAAATGCAGCTGAAGCATCCACTATTTTAGCCAATATATAACAAAAATTAAGCAAAAATAAAACAAATATTGTGGAACCTTAAAGACCAATAAATTTATGTCATTGGGAGCTATCATGTATTACAATCCATTTACAATCCTCAGATACATACAGTAAAATATTTAAACAAGATTTATATGCAAGTATACATTCTAGGGGTGGGAACTCAGTGCAGATGGGTACAGCTGCAGATAATATTTCAGAGTGAAAATAGCAATAATACAATCATGAACTCTGAGAGTGTTGATGGCATAAACATCCTGGTGATTGCTAGAGCAATTGACCATCTCTCAGGTAAACAGACTGATGTTTGAAGTAGAAAGATTTTGCTGCAGAAAGCTTTTTTCAGAATCTTTTTCTGATGCTGTACTATATAGGTTACTACTTTAAGCAGGATTATAATGAAAACTGCCTTTTAATATTCAATGTGAACAAAATCCTCTTGCGGGATTCTGCTGGTGTGATGCAGGTGGTGCACTTCTACACAGACAAGAACACATGCCAAAACAAATTTAAGAAAGTGCAACCAAAACCATTTCAAAATAAACAACCTCATTGGGGGTGTTGAAAGAAAACTTACTTTCCAACCAAAAAAAGGCATTCTTAAGTTGTGTAAGCAGATATTTTTAAACGATTTCAAGCATGTGAAGCCTGATGCAAAAGCAGGAGTATTATAACGTTTTGCTGAGCCCTGAATCACATGAATTACACAACAGATAATATCTTCAGTGATTGCTCAGCCTAAAGTACCTCACTTTCAAAAGTTGCACTGCGTTAATGCTATTGTAATTATGCAAGAGGATTTCAGCTGTTCAGCTAAAAAGCCTTTATTTAAGTCTGCAGACAGTCCAGAACTCACACCTGCCTCCCCTCAAATCTTCCTTTGTAACTCTCTTTTTCTGCCCCATTCACTTCCATATCATTCAGTTACAGAGTATAGTGGCGAGATATGCTTTGGCTTCATTTAGAAAGATATAATTTTGGTGACTTGTAGTCCCTTCTAGTGTGAGATGTTCCATCTGTTGAACTTAGCATGTTGAAGATTCCAGGATGAATACTTATAGTCCCTTCTAGTCTTACATTTAAATTATTTGTGTGTCTTGAAATATACTAAAAATGAAATTTGTTGAAATCGTGGCACATCAACAATCATAAATAGAAAAACAAATCTCAAACTTTTTGATTTATAAAAATCTATATGCCTGTGCACGAGGAGGCAATTGTTATTTGCCATGGTAGATAGTTGACTGTTTTCAGTATGGTTTTATGTACAGAACATTGACTTAAGTCTGATAGTAATTTGCAACTATCCTAAACAATTTAAGTTTTAATTTTGATAACTGAACAAGATGAGATGCCATAATTAAGCATTAACTAAATAGAGAAAGATATTAACTTGAACATAAAGTAATACATTTCAAATATGATTTATATACCGCCCCATAGCGCTACAAGCACTCTCCGGGCGGTTTACAATTTTAATTATAAAGGCTACACATTGCCCCCCCAGCAAGCTGGGTACTCATTTTACCGACCTCGGAAGGATGGAAGGCTGAGTCAACCTTGAGCCGGCTACCTGGGATTTGAACCCCAGGTCGTGAGCACAGTTTTAGCTGCAGTACAGCGTTTTAACCACTGCGCCATTTCTTGATAGTGTGTAATGTCAAGATATCTCACTGAATACAGATAGCTCATGGATAAATGCTTCTACTTATTTTAATGACATTTTCTATAGTTTTGAACGTTATCATAATAACACATTTTGTAATGAAAGACACGTGTAATAAAATAGCACTTATTAACTGGCCCAATTAAAAGTGTCGCAATTGGATCAATAGACTGTGTAGTTGATTTTCATTAGCTGTACTGTACAGTGTAACAATTTAATTGTAGCAATAGGTGTCATAAGCAGGTTTGTATATGTCTTCTTACTTTATTGCCTTTCCCCCATGTTGGTGAACTCTAGTAGTTCGAAACAAACCCTGGATTCATTCTTCTTTGCTCAGGTAGTAAATCTAGAATACTGTTGTTTTTCCTTCATATTTTAAATTATTCTTTCAATTTTTTTAGCAATTTAATAATATGTTAGAAAAGACATAGAGCTGATTGCAGGTATACATTTTTCTCTCTAACCCAGTGGTTCCCAACTTTGGATCACTAGATGTTCTGCAACTTCCGGAAATCTTGACCAGCACAGCTAGTCGTTAAGGCTTTGGGGAATTTTAGTCTAACAATATCTGCGGACTCAAAGCTGGGAACCATTGCTGTAACCCATGACTTGCAAATAGGAAGCCAACTTTAGAAGAAGGCTTCTAATCTTCCACCTCCAACACAGATCTCCCTATATTTCCTTTTCATCATTTTAAAAAACTACATAAATGGTAACCATGGCCAGAGCTTGGAATGTTTGGTCTGACTATTAATTACTTAAGATTTCAGGCTTCCTTTTTAAATGTTTTTTCTGTTGTAGAGGTGAAGATACAAGGCAAAATATGTAATCAGTGAAAAAGAGAGCTATTCCATGTGTTAGTTAATAATTGAAGCCATCAATAGTTTAACAGAACTCACAGAAGTGTAAAAAGTAAGGTTCTTAGTAAATTGGGCAGTTGTGGTAATTCTTGGTCCTTCCAGAGCTGCTTACAGACACTGCATAAAAAAGAGTTTACCGGTAAACTGTGAATTTGTATTGGGAGATGATGGGAGCTCTAATCCAAAAAGGGAATTTTCCAAGCTCTTATGTTATGCAACTTTCTGCATTATAGCTGCATGAGAGTGCAGCAATGATATTGTGTGGCAGAACAAATCAACATTTTACAAGGCAATTCTAGAAATGGGGACAGCCTAAATAAAAACTTATAATTTTAGAACTGTGTTTCAGATCAGTACCAAATTTGGTAGTTATAAGGGACCATTTGCTCCTGCTCAATGCCAAATTTGGGACTGTTTCTGAGTTATGATTTCTTAAAAGTAAAACATTTTTACCCCTGTTCAGAAATAGGCAACCCAAAACTATTCAAGATTTAAAATAGCTAATATAAATTGAAAAGACCAATCTTGCATTTCTTGGAAGAGAATAAGCCCCATCTACTTTTTTTGTTTAGAAAGAATCCAGGTTGATGCGACTGAAATTTGTCCTCAAAAAGACCTTTTGAACAGGAGAAACAGTGATTTTTTTATATAATATTATGCATGGTTCAGACTTGAATATTAATATGATTCCATCCTAACCTGCTTTTTCAAGACATACTTGAAATTCTGGTAAAGAGGTTGAGAGGCAGCTTATGGATACAGGAAGGGAGCAGGCTGTATCCAAAGTTTTTGCTGAGGTCACCTAATCACAAGTGATGAAAACTTTTATTATCATTAGCCATGGTCATAGCTTGAAAACAACATATTCGAATCAATATATTAACATTAAATTCATTAGTTTTTGGACAGATTCCTGAAAAAGGCTCTTAAAAACGTGAAGTTTAAAATACAATGTTTGAAAAATAAGTTTAACAGGAGTTTTACTCATTAAAATATTAACTGAGAAAGGTACATATCATACCTCACTCCCCCTCCTTAAGGGAAAAGGGGAAATGTTTCCTTTTGAAAACTAGATTTATTCTAGCTGGTCCAGCTTTGGCCCCATGAATGGATTTGACTGACTAAAAGCCTTAGAATGACTAAGAATCTGTGCTCTTTCTCAACACTTCTGGAAATTGGAACCTAAGGCTATTGAATTCCAAGGTTATGAACCATTGCTCTACATTCAACCAAATGATCCCTCCTAGTTACACTCACTTAGTATAAAACACTATAAAAAGCTTTAACTTAAAGAATAAGCCTGATTGGAAGCTGACTTAGAGACTTAATGTGTTGCCCTAGGCAGCTATTGAGATCATAATGACCAGTACCCACAGGACAGTGCTAGATACACTTATCTCAGACACACAAGAGTTAGAATATACCACCTAACTCGTCAGGCAAGACATAAGTACAGGAGCCATCAGTTCTCTCACTGACTCCAGCAAAGCTCTAGATAGAAAGTCACAACTAGTGTAGGCTCATTTGAATCAACCTAATTTATGGAGGATTTGATTCATGAAATCCCAGCTGGTTCAATGCACCTATTCAAATGCAACCTTATTGCTGGTGCCATTCGGTTTTACTTGCTTAATGTTGTAACTTTTTAGTGTGTGTTGTATTTTATAATATACATCTTTTATTACTACTGTTGTAAATTCCCCAGAATTGTACATTGCACTAAAGGGGAAGAATGTAAGTCAAAGAAAGAAAGAAAGCAACAGGATTTCAGGCACTGAGTAGAAATGGCATGTGTCTTTAGTATAATTAAGAATTTTGTGTGTGTTTGGGGGGGGAATCCTCAAAAAGCAATCTTAATATTTATTTTACAACTTTAACTTGTGGTGGATTGTTCAATTTATTTTGTTTTGTTCTCTCCATTGGGTTTATCTTGCTTTCTCCAGTATTGTGTTGGAAGAGACATTGCTGGATGACTTGTTAAATTTTGCTGCCACACCAAAAGGGCTTTTACTGCTGCAGAATACAGGAACAATTAATGAATGTGTGACCTTCATGTTCAACAGATTCACAAAAAATTTTCAGGTAGCAGTAATAATTTAGTAATTAGTATGTACACTTGGAAAATACTGTTTTCACTGCTTGCTTTGCTCGAAAAAGCTTTGTTGTCCACACCATAATTGTTCTGTGTTAAAGCTGCATCTAGAGGTTAGGGCCCAATGGCACATTTTATTATAGATTTATTTGCTCTCAAAACAAACATACTGTAACTTATATAAAAATGACTGGTATTATCTTGCATAGTTCTTTTTCTGTAGCACTTTTCTGTTTGGGGCTTTGAAATTGATCATATTTTTTATGCTAGGTCAATGGATGTGAAAAGTTTGGCTACGGGGTAATTGTTTCACAAGTGGCTGCAACTGCTGCAGGGGCTGTAGCTCTGCAAAATTCAGGTAAGCTTTATTAGTCAGTTCATATTATTGTAAAATATTATAAATAAAGCTTAATGATAAAGCTTTCTTTTCAGCACAGCTCCCGTGCTACAGATTATGTTTTTTATCTGTATTTGTACATTGCCCATTGATTCTGTGCTACTCACTGGAGCAGTTCAGACATAATGCCAAGGCATACTTTGATGTTACGCATGTCACCTCCGGGCTTTTTCTTTTTCTTTCCATCCATTCAATCTCCCTTTGTGAGTGGCAAATCTTTTCCTACTTTCTTGGCTTGTAGGACAATCATAAACCTTAATTTTCTTGTTTGGATAAAGGAGAGCATTACCACAAAGAAGTAGAAAGGGTGAGGTTACTAGCCCAAGTACACAGTTAGACTCATTAATATGATATATTTTTCTATTAAGTCTGTGCTGCCTTTTTGTGTTCAGAGTACACCATGGTGCAGTGTGGACCAAAGGGGCCTGATAGAGAATTCAGAGGGATGTGTATGTAATATAGTTGGTTATGCTTGATTTAACAACTTTCTGTGGGTGGAGAAGGCTGATGTGCTTACTTCCTGTATGGGTGTAAGAGAATCCTATCTTTCTTTGCCAAGCTGTTTCATGTTTGTGCAGCTAATGTGCTAGTTATGTTCAGAGAAGCGAGGTGCTCTTACCATGCAGCATCTGGTAAGTTTAACCTTTCTAGTTTCCCATTTCTAGATTTCTTTCTCTCCAGGAGCTAAGGCCTGGAGAGATTCCGGTCATATGATGATTCAAACTGCAGACAGATCTCTGTTTGCCATGAATGTCTCTATGCAGTGTCCTGTGTCGTCGTGGCCAGAGAATAATACAACATACTCCCGCGAGGGTTATAATGTACTTCTACTGGTATACTGCTGTATGAATCCCTTTCCAAACATAAGTGCTGCAAGAATGTATTATTCTTATTTTTTAAACTTCTGGTACCATCTTCGGAGGACAGAAATTTAAATAAATATATGCCACCATATCTATTAAGATACAGTGGGGTATTGACTTGAGAACTTAATCCGTATTGGAAGGCGGTTCTCAAGTCAAAAAGTTCTCAAGTCAAATCTGCATTTCCCATAGGAATGCATTGAAAGCCATTTGATCCGTATCTGCTCTTTTCCATCCATAGAAACTAATGGGAAGCTGCTATCCTGCCTTCGACCACTAGAGGGGGATATTTTGTTTCTTTTTTTCTTAGGTCAAGAAAGGTTCAGGGAAGGCAGGGAAAATACAGTCCAGGCAGTACAGTCCCAGGCAGTCCGAAGACTGTCTCCCAACCCACTCTCTAAACACTGGGAGGAGTGAGGAAGCAGACAGGCACCCTTTTCACTGGTCAACAGTTAACTGAAAGTTCACATTTTGCACTTTCCCTGCCTCCCACGTGGGTTTTTTTCAGTTCTTAACTCAAATCTAAGTACTTAAGTCAAGTCAATATTTTCCTATGAGAGTGGTTCTTAAGTCAAAATGTTCTTAACTCGAGCCGTTCTTAAGTCAAGACCCCACTGTACCATGAGGAATACTGTGGCTGTAGGAGAATCAAAATCTTTTTATTTTATTTTATTATGTCACAAATAAACATACAAAACAGGCAAAAACATATATGCGGGGAAGGTATTTTCCATACAATCATATCCAATATATAGTTCTGACAACATAGACCTTATTGTCCTACTAACATATTTAAGCCATACTATACTGTATTCTCCAATCTCTCGCTCTCTCTCTGTCTACACACACACACACACACACACACATACACACATGTCTTTCACATCAATGCTTCAGATATTAAGTTCAGAACAAACCTTACTGCTTAACATACACACATTATCTAAAATATAATCTTAGACCTAAATTCATCTTCCACTCAATAATTTCTATTATTGTATTTAATATGAATCACTCTAGTTTAAGATTTATATATCATTATCTATTACCCAAGGGACGTGGTGATGCTGCAGGTTAAACCGCAAAAGCCTCTGTGCTGCAGGGTCAGAAGACCAGCAGTTGTAAGATTGAATCCACGTGATGGAGTGAGCGCCCGTCACTTGTCCCAGCTCCTGCCAACCTAGCAGTTTGAAAGCATGTAAATGTGACTAAGATAAATAGGTACCACCTCGGTGGTGAGGTAATGGCGTTCTGTGTCTAGTCGTGCTGGCCATGTGACCACGGAAACTATCTTCGGACAAAACGCTCGCTCTGTGGCTTGGAAACGGAGATGAGCACCGCACCCTAGAGTCGGACACGACTGGACTAAATGTCAAGGGCAACCTTTAACTTTACCTTATATATGAAAGTCCAAAATTACTAAAAATATACCTTAAAATAGTTATGCAACAAAAGATAGATGTGTAGATTCTTTTTCCTACACCCTTATTTATCCAATTACATTTCAGAGTATTAATGCTTTACAGTCAACAAAAATCAATATTTTAAAGAAGACAAGAAAAAGGTGTATATATGTAAAACCTTAACTACATAGTCACATTATGATTCATATACGCTTAGCATCTCTATATATCTATCTTACCATCAATAACTTCTAATAATTATATTCACCATGAGTATTTCTAATTTAAAAGTTGTGTATATTTATCAGCCATTTAAATCACCAAAAATCAATAATTTAAAGAAGAAAAAGAAAAAAGGTGCATATGTGTAGAGCCTTAACTACATACTCACATTATAATTCATATGTGCTTAACATCTCTATATATCTATCTTACCATCAATAACTTCTAATAATTATATTCAACATAAGCATTTCTAATTTAAGAGTTGTATGTACTCATCAACCGTTTAAATCCAAGCATGACCAGAATTGCTGACAGTATGTTAATCACATTAGTTTATGTTTAAATGTGTACCTTCCAATCAATAGTTTCTATTATGTTCAGCAAGTAACTTTCCAATTTTTTATTATACTTATCAGCTCCATGTATAAACCGGGAATCCCAAATTGCTTACAATATTATAACCTAAAGTTAACTTCTTGCATCCTTTTTACCAGTTTTAAAGTGCCATCTATAAAATCTCTTTAAGCCATTTTCCATCCGATTTAGTATCAGAATCTTTTTGACTAGGTCCTAAATTCATGTCAAACTATAAGCAAAAGACAGACAGAGGGGGAGAGAGAGACCGTGGAGGTGACATCAGGAGTGTTGTGAAAGAACAGCTTATGCAAATACATTTTTAAGAGACCATTTTAAGAAATATGATTGAAGAGGAATAATTGTTCTTTTCATGGATTACAGTACAAATAGCAAATTAGCCCTTTTCATTGAACATACCTTGTGTGATGGAGAATGCGAGAAAGTTTTTCCTGTGCATTGTTCTATAATTGGGCTTTGCCTGTGTACATTCTGGAAATTTATGAATAAACTGTTTCTCCCCCCTAGGGTTTATAAAAGCAATTATTACTGAATTGTGGGGTGTTCTAGAGTGTGGAAGAGATGATGTCCGTGTAACCTACCCTAGATCAACACCCGTAGATCCCATTGACCGAAGTTGTCAAAAGGTGATTTGACCTTTGTTTCATATTCCTGGATGAATATGATGATGAAATGAATTATAACATTTTCCTTGTGATAGTGTTTCTTCAAGTTGTGTGTAGTTTGGCCATTTCTAAACTATTACAATATATCAGAGTATTAGAAAAACAGTAAAAGAATAGCATATGATTGGTATACATGCTTTGACTCCCTTTTATTGTTAAAGCTTTTTCCCTACAAAGCTGGGATCTAGCTTCCTAAATCAAATAGAAAAGAAGTATTGAATTAGTTTAGTCTTCATATTTTTGAAGCCTCGTAACTTAAAGGATGCAAACAAAATTGGTTCTAGAAGAGTTACATGTAATCACATCAGGATGTCTTCAACTTCAGTGAATACATTTCAGTGTCAGTTTTATTATCTCAGCTAGAGTCTATAATATAGAATGCAATTACTAGCATCTACAAATAAAGACAATTATCCAGAATAAAGCAATGCCCATAGAAAAGTCATGATCCACATTTCTTACAACTAATCTGCATCTCAGCAAAATAACACATTCTTTGGCAGAATGTAAATGAGTGTATTTTTTTGCAAAATAACATTAAATGGCTGTTTTTGCTGTATAATGAGGTAGTTGTTGCTTTGTGAAGTGTCAGGTTATTTTATTATACTTTTTTGTCTCTATAAAATATAGCACAAATTTTCTTCACCGATTTCTATCTGGCCATCTTCTATGTTGTATATAGGAATATGGGATTTTTTAAAAATGCATTATTTAAGCCAAGAACAGCTTGTTTTTTTTTTCTGCGAGCAACCTGTTTTATGATTATCCTGATATGGGAGAAAAGGGGACTCGTGGTTTGAAGCGAGTAGTATAGTCTGCTACTGGTGTCTTGTCCCCCCTGTGTTGTTGCAGACATTCATACTACAGTGCAAGATGGCCTTGTTTAAGATGGTGCTAAATCATGTTTGTGATAACCAGGCTTGCCAAATTTATCCAGTCTCCAGACTTAAAAGCTCAGCTGAGGTGACACAAGGGGTGGCTAAAGGCACTAGCGTTTGAACTCTGGCAGCCCCTGATATTTTTTTTCTCCCAGATTTGTGCTGAATTATTGGGCTGAATACCACCTTTCTTGACCTGTTCCTTGCATCCCAGCCCTCTCATCACAAAAGTTCTAGCTGGCGTTGCATTAATTTCATTAAATCTTTCCAGCTTTTTCTATTTAGATATCTTTCCAGTTTGTTCCACAGTATGCTGCACCCTGAAAATGTGTTTAGTCCTTGGTAATTAAACTTACCTCACATGTATACTTACCTATTCATTGTGCGTAACTCAAGAGCTTGAAGACCTCCCACTGACAGGGATTGTTCCATAAAATTGTGAGACTTCATGTATTTTGTATACCATATTCGTTAACAGTAAAGTAATTCTGTAATAAGTTTTAAATGCCAATAAGCATTCTTGTTAGTGAATCACACTGTTTCCTGTTTTAGTATTTTCTAGCTCTGATAAACTTGCTGTCTTACCCTGCTGTTTATGAGCTGATAGGTGACCAAAATATCCCAAATAAATCAGAATATTCACTTCGTGAGGTTCCCACTAACATTACTGTAAGTAACTTTTCCTTGTATCTCTTTAAAACAGTTCTGATTATTTTGTAATGATTGAAACAAACTTAAAATAATGATAGCTTCAAAATATGTTTTCACCATTTTTATTGGATGCGACATGACAGCACAGAGTATGCATATGGAGTATTCTTTGTGGGTATGTTTTTTTTCTGCAGTCACAGGAAAACTGTAACACTTAAATAATCTGCAGAAGCAGCTTTCCCTCCTCTTGTTATTTATATAGAGTGGTGCCTCGCATAGCGATTGCTCCGTTTAGCGACGAAATCGCTTTGCGATGCATTTTTTGCGATCACAAAAGCAATCGCTTTGCCATGTTCCCTATGGGGGAATTTCACTTTGCGATGACCGATCATTGCAAAGCGACCATTTTCGGCCAGCTGGTCGGCAGTTTCAAAATGGCTGCTGGAAAAAAACCATGGCCACCCGATGTTTTCTGGGACGGATTCCTCGCTTAAGAGGCACCAGAAATGGCCGCACTATGGAGGATCTTCGCTGAACTGTGAGTTTTAAGCCCATAGGAACGCATTAATCGCATTTTAATATGTTTCTGTGGGCTTTATTATTTCGCATTGCGACGTTTTCGTTCTGCAGCAATTTTTGCGGAACGAATTAACATCGCAATGCGAGGCACCATTGTATAGGTGATTGGTCTGATTATGATAAAATCCTTTATTATTGCTGCATGAGAGTGTAGCAGTGATCTTGTGCTGTTTGAACGTACCAACATTCTACAAAGGAATTTTTAAAAAGTGACCATTTTCGGCCAGCTGGTTGGCGGTTTCAAAATGGCAGCCGGGACAAAAACATGACTGCCCGCTGTTTTCTGGGACAGATTCCTAGCCTAAGAGGCACCAGAAATGGCCGCACTATGGAGGATCTTCGCTGAACTGTGAGTTTTAAGCCCATAGGAACGCATTAATCACGTTTTAATGCGTTTCTATGGGCTTTTTTATTTCGCATTGCAACTTTTTTGTTCTCGAGCAATTTTTGCGGAACGAATTAACATCGCAATGCGAGGCACCATTGTATAGGTGATTGGTCTGATTATGATAAAATCCTTTATTATTGCTGCATGAGAGTGTAGCAGTGATCTTGTGCTGTTTGAACCTACCAACAATCTACAAAGGAATTTTTAAAAAGTGACCATTTTCGGCCAGCTGGTTGGCGGTTTCAAAATGGTAGCCGGGACAAAAACATGACTGCCCGCTGTTTTCTGGGACAGATTCCTAGCCTAAGAGGCACCAGAAATGGCCACACTATGGAGGATCTTCACTGAACTGTGAGTTTTAAGCCCATAGGAACGCATTAATCGCGTTTTAATGCGTTTCTATGGGCTTTTTTATTTCGCATTGCAACGTTTTTATTCTCGAGCAATTTTTGCGGAACAAATTAATGTCACAGTGCGAGGCACCACTGTATAGGTGATTGGTCTAATTATGATAAAATCCTTTATTATTGCTGCATGAGAGTGTAGCAGTGATCTTGTGCTGTTTGAACCTACCAACATTCTACAAAGGAATTTTTAAAATGTGGTAATCCCAAACAGAACAATTATGACTTTGAAACTGGACTTCGGATCATCATCAAAGCTGGCACAGTTGTAGCAGACAGCTTGGGAAAGTTTGGGTGAAGGGTTTTCGAGTCATGATTTTTCAAAAGTAAAACTATTTCACCACCACCATGCAGAAACAAATGACTCTAAATGTCCCCAGATTTAAAATAGTTCATACAAATTGAAAATATAAGTCCTGCTTATCTTGAAAGGGAATGGTTGACCCCACCCATTTTTTTTTAATTAGGGAAGAATCCAGGCTGCAGGGACTGAAATACTGAACTTCAAACAAGGCCATTCAAAATGGAAAAACAGCCACTTTGTTGTAAGACTGAGCAGGCTTAGAACAGGCATACCAGCAAAAGCATTTCAAAGTAGATACCATGTTTCCCTGAAAATAAGACAGGGTCTTATATTAATTTTTGCTCCAAAAAAGCATTAGGCCTTATTTTTGGGGGATGTTTTATTTTTTCATGTACAGCAATCTACATTTATTCAAATACAGTCATGTCATATTCTGGTTGCTGCACAATGGTGGAAGGTGGGGTTTCACTTAACTAGGGCTTATTTTGGGGGTAGGGCTTATATTACGAGCATCCTGAAAAATCATACTAGGGCTTATTTTCAGATTAGGTCTTATTTTTGGGAAAACAAGGTAATTGTTACACTTTGCAGCCAGGGAAGGCAGATATTTGGAGGCCAAGAAAAAGTAACAGAAGCAGTCAAAGATAGGTTTACTTTAAAGAAGGTAATGGTGTGACAGTCCTCCACAGAGGGACATTTTCCCATGTATCTCCAGTGGATTGGCATACAATTTTATAAGGCACATTCACAATATTTCTGTATTATAAAAGGACAGAGCAGTTGTGTTTGTCTCAGCCCCGAGCGCTTTCAGTAAACTTTCTCTCTGGATTTCTGAAACTATGTTCCTGACACAAGACTAGCTGCACGCCTGGGACTATCTGTACTTTGACCCTGTATGTCAGGACCCAATTAGCTGATACTCAGGAGGAGAACTTTTTAACTCCTTCCTGGCCAAATAGGCATTGGTGCTGGGAAAGGATTCTGTGTCTGGTTGTAAAAATATTTTAAAAGATATTTTAAAAAAACTTAGAACAAATATTCAGAAGCTAACTCATATTAATGAAAAGTCTCATTTTTCACTGTTGTCACATGAAAAGATATACTACAATATATAAATGTGAGGGGGTGTACTCACTTCTGTGATATACTGTATATGTTTTATTTTAACCTATGACAGATCAGGATACAATTTTCTTAGACTTTTTACTGCAGGGGCTTGTGAGATGCTTGATAAAGTACAGTGCTGTTTATAGTCTCTGTCCTCTATCCTGTCCAAGAATATTGATTTTACTTCTAGAATTTGAAAATCCAGAGGCAATTTCTTTCTAATGATGTGAATGAAAGCATCTTTCAAAATAGGCCATGTAGGAAATAATCATATGGATGTTTCCTTCTGATTATGTGGGTCCCCAACCTATAGCTCTTTTGTTTTTCTTGGGCTCAATGTGTGTTCCCCCATTTAGCCCAGAGATGAGAAATGTTGCTTTTTGGACTACAAGTCCAATCCATAAAAACAAATTGGGAATAATTAAGAAATCAGGTGGAAGGTCAGCTGTATCTAGAATCTCACAGAAGGTATGATGTGGTCTTGTTGGCTGCAGGATTCTAGGGTTTGTTATCTGAGTGCAGGGATGAAAAATAGAACTCAGTGCACTGTGTCAGTTGGTTTCCTAAATAGTATGCCAATTATTGTGCCACTTTTCCACTTCTAAAGTGCATCCACACAGCTTTAAAACAATACTAGGTAGGTTAGCAAGATGGAGCACCGAACAATCCATAAAAAAAAACCACAATCCATAAAAACAAATTGGGAATGCCGTAAGCGGCTATTAGGCCCACTCCTCTCTTCCCTCTCCCCTTTCTTCCTCGACCTTACCCCCATACTCCTGAGCGATTTCTCGCCTTTTATCACCAGTCAAGTTGCTGACTTTCTCCTAACTGTTATGAAGTCCCCCCCTCCCCCCTCCCCCTCCCCTAAACCCTCTATAAATCTCTTTGAACCTAGCGTACTACAATCCCAACCTCACCCTTCCCCCCATCCGGTATTGGAATGTAACTATCCTGTGTACTCCCTGTACCCTGTAATGCCAATAAAGGTTTCTGTATGTTCTGCTTAAAAATTGGGAATGATTAAGAAATCAGGTGGAAGGTCAGCTGTAGAAAGATAGATACATTACAAGGCAGGAAACCACTTAAGGCCAGTGCTGCTGTGGGAAAGGTGCTCTCATGATTTAACTAGTTACATCTCAGAGGTGGATGTTCTTAAGAGTCAGAAAAAGAGGAAACTGTCTTATATTAAGGCAGCATTAGTCCATCTATCTCAGCATGTTCTGCACTTCCACTGATGCATGGTGACCTTCCACAGTTGCATGTAGGAGCTTTCCAGTCCTACCTGGAGGTGATAAAGATTGATCTTGGGACTTTGTGCTTGCAAAGTATTGCTGTACCACAGAACTATGATCAGTCTTACTAGCTCATTTTAACAATGGGATCATAGTTGTTTCAGTTGCTAACCATGAGCACCTGTGTGTGTGTGTGTGTGTGTGTATGTATAGAACCTCGAAAATTCATGTGGATTAGATCACATATTGCTCTTCTGAATTTGGTACACATGATCCAAGTCCCAGAAGGATTTAAAAATCAGTTTTATTAAAGGCTAGGGAAAATCAGTAGGGTTACTCTTTTGCTCTTTTTTTAAATTGCTAGAGAGCCAGTGTAGTGTAATGGAAGGAGTGTCAGACTAAGATTTAGGAGATGGGTTCAAATCCCTCATAGGCCATGAAAATTCACTGGGAGGAGGTTGGCATTTGTAAAATAATTCCTGAAATATTTCACATAACTAGGATTGTTAAAATTCAGGATCAAGTTGGCAACATTTGACACAGAACCAGATTGTTAAATAGGCCATTGAAGTTGTTTCAAAGTAGAAATGTGTTGTTTGAACAGAATCATAAAGAACAAATTACACACATGGACCTTTGCTTGAAAAATGTGATGAATATATCTGACAGGCTTAAAGGAAAAGGAGAGAATGTAGTGCAACAGACAACATATCCTTTGAGTTGACTCTGCAAAGCCTTTCAGGTGTTTGATTCAGGAACCACAGAATCATAAAACACAACAGGTCTTGCCAGCAAGTTCTTCTAAGTGTGTCATACTAAATACACTCCTTGTTCATTTGGCGGATGAGAAATTGAACCATTTTATTGATACTATGAAAGCAGAAGTTATAATGTCATTCCTGTGCTTAGGGTCTTTGGGAGGGAGAGCCTTCAAGAGTAACTCTTATCTGTTACTCAGGTGACAGGTGAGCAAGGGACTCAGCTGCCTCACTTGTAAACTTCCTTGTGAACCATATAAGATGCCAGAGTATTTTGCATGAAACCAAAGTTTTATCATATCGGCTAGTACTAGTTTTTGCACAGTCTTTGTGCTTTCATATTACAAAAGCTGCATAAATCCTGTTGTTTCAGGAAGCAACCAAGCATTCAACTAAGAACTGACTTTCCTAATGGAAACTTGTTCATTGTATTTCCCTCGATGTATGTACTTATCTAAAAATAATTGCACTTTGGTATTGAATTTACAAAATGTCTGATAACAACTATTTTTGAGCTTATGTTTGCTTAGAATTTGGTTTTGCATCAGTGTAACACCTTTCTTAAAATATAAGAATGCTTTACTTAATTATTTCTTTCTTAACTGCTTATGAGGAAAATTAATGACCAAATCCATATCTTTAATATATTAATTTTCTCTGGCCAAGTATCTGCATACTTTAAAACACCACCTTAATGAAAACAGTCGAGCAAAAATCTATATGCAGACTTTTGGTTAAAACTTAATAAAATAGGTTATTATATTTCAGGATATCATTGACAGACTTATAATTGTGAATATGGAAGCTAAAATTCACTCTTTATTCAATTACGAGCAGTCACATACCTTTGGACTGAGGTAAGAGGTTCAGTTTTCATCAGGTCCAATAACTTGTCTCTTTGCTAGTTATTCAAGGATGATTAGTTGATGTTCTTATGAATCCTTCCATGTTGGGGGTGGAATCGTGAAATATATAGGTTGAATGCTGTGTAGCAGTGAAGTGTACTAGTCATTCATGCAGTTCAAGTTTGCAGCCAGGCAGTATTCTTTTTTTAAAATTTTTGTAGCTTAATGCAGTTTTTTTTTTTAAACAATGGTTGGTTGATCCCCTATCAGGGATGCTTCAACTATGAATTTCCTACTTTGGCAGGAGGTTGGATAACTCTTCAAGCCTTTTCCAGCTTTCCAACTTTATGATTCTACCAGCTAAAATACAATGGTGTGGTGTGTTATAGAGAATTATATAATTTTTTTGCATCCTATATAGTAAGCGTCTTTCATTTTTCAGATAGGAAAGAGAAATTAGTACATAGAAGCATAATAAAAGAAGGAAATGGGAGGACAAAATTACTCATTTTATTTATTTAATTTATTTGTTTGTTCGACTTATATACTGCCCATCTCGTAAATTCTACCACCTTGGGCGGCTTACAGCATAAAATAATGCAAGAACATTTCCGTACAAAAATAACAAATGGTGTGCAGAAATATAGTAAATAATAGATAGAAAGGAAAAGAAAGAGATGTTGACAGGAGGGAAGGCCTGGATGTACATCCATGTTTTTAGTTGACTTTTAAAAGTACCCAGAGTAGGGCCCTCGCAAATCTCCAGAGGGAGGTTATTCCAAAGACGAGGAGCCACCACCGAGAAGGCCCAGTTTCGTGTCTTTTCCCTCTAGGCCTCCCTCGGTGTCAGGCTCCTCAGCCTCACTTCCTGACTCGCATGGTTGATCCGAGTAGATCTTGGTGGGAGCAGGTGTTCTGCCAAGTATCGAGGTCCTAAACCGTTTAGGGCCTTATAGGTAAGCATTAGAACTTTGAAGTCAGGGTGGGAGAAATAAGTTGGTGTTTTCTCACTCCAGTGAGGAGTCTGGCTGCTGCATTCTGCACCACTTGAAGTTTCCACATCAGCCTCAAAGGCAGCCCCACATAGAGCATGTTACAGTGGTCTAATCTTCAGAAACCGATGTCACCTGGGTTTCCATGGTAAGCGTCGGGTCCAGATGTACCCCCAAGCTGCGAACCCCACTCTTAACAGCCAGGGTCACCCCCCAAAAGTGAGAGAGTCACCTGGGCCACCAACCCCAGGGGCGCCCACCCTCAGAACCTCCGTCTTGTCCGGGTTCAGCCTCAGCCCATTTTCCTGTATCCACTGCAGTACAGCCCCCAGGCAGCGCTGGAGGGAGAGGATGGCATCACCTGCAGTTGGTAAAAAGGAGATGTAGAGCTGGGTGTCATCAGCATATTGATGACACGAGGCTCCACACCCCCTGATGACCTCACCCAGCGGCCTCATGTAGATGTTAAACAGCATTGGGGAGATAATCGACCCCTGTGGGACCCCACAGTTGAGACTCCACGGGGCCGAGATATTCTCCCCAAGTTGTACTCTCTGGGCTCGGTCCTCCAAGGAGGAACGGAACCAGGCTAGCGCCAAGCCACTGATTCCCAACTCAGAGAACCTCCCCAGGAGGATACCGTGGTCGACAGTATCGAAGGCCGCCGAGATGTCGAGGAGGACCAACAGAGACGTTTTGCCCCTGTCATTGGAGTAATTAATTAATGGAAGGACAAAATTACTCATTGGAGTGCAATTAATGGCCAGAGGGCACTGAATTGTGAGGGAAGGAGAAAAAAATGTGGGGAGACAGAATGGACTAAAGTACTCTGGCATTGTCTTCCTCACTTGTAGCATGATAGAATTCTGTTTTTGGAGGTGCTATTCAGGCATTCTGACAGCCAACTCTAATTAATAGTCGAATCAGTCTTGTTTGATTTAATGCAAGATAGCGTGGATAGTTGTAGAAATGTTTGTTTGGAAAGTTAGAAAATATCTATTTGGATTTCCTCATGCACAACATGTCCAAGCCTCCCTCAGTTAGGTTGCCACTTTCCACTAGTACACAGGGACTATCTTTAGATCTGAGCTTGTTGCTAACCTGTGTTAGGACAATTAGGACACCTGGACGTCTTCTTTAACTTCCACTTCACTCTGCAAAAGATATTTTAGTCTTTTGTGAGAACTCAACCCTTTAACTAGTGGTGTTGACACTAGTTCCAATGTGGGTGTTTAAGTGATAACTGCCACTTGAAAATACAGAGATGTGTGATACAAAATAAATGTATGAACATTTCTGATGCAGTCTTTGGTCTCACCTAATTATAGTCCTGGATTCCCAGTGTGGTGTAGTGGACAGAGTGATGGACTAAAACTTTGGAGAATGGAGTTCAAATCCCTGCTTGGCCATGGAGACTTACTGGGGGTGTGGGAATGTTAAAACCACCCCTTAAATATCTCACATACCTTGAATGCCTTCTTAAGGTTGTTATAAATCGGTTCTGACTTGATGGCACAGAAGACACAATCCTAGTCCTAATTTTGCAACCTACATGTAAACTTTTCAAGTCCTCTCTCTCTAGAAATCTTGTTCTACCTCACTGTGTGTATTGTAACACTATCATTCTGTCTCTGTGCCTATGATCCCTTCTAAATTTTCACCCATTCTTACATACATTCTGTCCCCCTCCTTGGACTTTGCAAAACAGCCAGTGAAAATAAAGTTTTATTGAACATTTTCATTGTCCAGCCAATGGCCATAAATATCTTACCTGGTACTTATTCAGCAGTCATTTGAAAGTTAAAAATCTCTTCACTTTTGTATCTGTAGATGCTTTTGTTTTTTTTATTTTGTTACTGATATTAAATCTAAACAGTCAAAGATATTCCATGCATAAAATAGCATTTGTGAATGCATCATCATATTATTTTTTCTGAATGATTAATTATAAGTAATTCATAATACGTTTTTCATACTAGGAATGTTTTAGAATAATATAATCATAAGTAATAAAAATATGCAGACCTCCCCCCCCCTAAATCTACATTCAAACAGTAGAAGTCAAAGTATTGATTTTAGTAATCCATCACATGTTGAATTATACTAGCAAATTAGGGCTTGTCTTGAGAATTTGAGAGAATAATTTTATGAATAAAATATTTAGACTCATGAATATACTGTTATAACTAAAAATAGTTATCATTACTTTTCCTTTTCCTTCCAATGTGAAGGAAATCACAACTGATCACATCAAGTGGGATTTTTCTTCCACGTGTCCATGAAATAAACTATCTGGGTAAGATGGCCTTGATTAGATACATTTTGACATACTTTCTGTGTGATAAACTCTGAAAAAGGTTTTCTAGAAAAAAAAAGAAGTTGTTTTTCTTAGATGAGTTCTTTTTCTGGAATTTTTGTTTGCTCAGGTCACCTTTTTCAGTGAGTGGGAGCAACATTGTGAGAAACATTCACAATCCATTTGTGCTTAGTTGCAAAAAGACTAAGCATTTTCTAACGTCTTTGTTGTGTTATAGCAGTTACAGAACAGACTCTTACTCTAGCTTAGCATTTGTGTGTTACAAAAACATATAGCTAATGTTCAGCAATTTCAATATTATATCTTGCAGATTATTAAATGTGCTTTGCTGTGAGCTAGATACACTTCTGCTTTTAGAATCACAGTATAAGATATCAGCAGTTCTCCTAGATGCTCAGAAAGAGAACGCCATCAATATTTCTGAAACATCTCGGTAAGAATATTTAAATTTAAGTTTAATATCAACTTAATCACTAGTTCTGTGTAATCTACTCTGGGGGCTTCTCCACACATAGACTTGTTCCACTCAGTGGAAGAAATGGCTCTGCATGCTGAGTTCAGGAAAATTATAGGAAAGATCACATCTTTTGCTTTTGATACAGAATATCAGTTTTGAAGTCATGAAAATGAGATGTGATGGTATACTGTTGTTTCCCCAGTTCAGCGGTTCTTGGCAGAGAATCTGACAGTTATTGATTATTTTATGTCACTTGCCAGTGCACAACCAATAAGTGATAATGTCTAAAGGAGAGTAGCAACATGCATAAATATGTGGATCCTTGTTATGTTACACAGCCATATCTGAAAAAAGATATCACCTAACATGGAAGGGGACACATCTGTAATTTTAATAACCTGAGAATGTTGTTAGTCATTTCCCATTTTTGTGTTTTCCTTTGTAATTTACTCTTACGAGATGAACACAAATCAACTCATGTCTAGTCAGTTCCTTAATTAAATCATAAATACCATGTATGGACTTCCTTTGTACAGTTAAGACAAACAAAGGATCATGTCTGTTGAACTTCTGCTTACCTCCCAGTGAGTCCAGCACTGGAATTTGGTTATCTTGATCAAAGCTGAGACTCAAATCCCATGTTAACAGCAAGCTAGCCATTGAGTGTTGCATTTAAAGGCTTTCCATTGTTTCCAAATACAATTCAGGTTTACTTTTTTGCAGAGACTTTATAATTGATGGCTTATCAGTTGAGAGAAACCATATTCTTGTTCGAATCACTCATGTTGGGGGACCAACAGAACGGATCTTGCCTCCAAGAATACTGCAGAAGGTTGTAAATGTACATTTGTGCACATCAGTCTTTACAGGGGATATTTGCTGAAACTGAGGAATAATTCTTTGGGGTTTTAATGTTTTAATTTAGTCAAGATGTTTAATTTAAAAGATGTTTTCTGGCTACCTACATAGCTAACTCCCTTTTTGAGTAGTTTTAAAGAGTTGTATAATGTGATTATGCTACTCCTGTTTTTACATTTTGTTGTATTTTTGTACAATCTTGTTGATAAGCTTTCTGAATTTGTTCCCGTGTCATTTTTAATTTTATCCATGAAATTCTGAGTTTTTGTATGGTATAGTATTATTTACATTTGTATATATTTCATTCACTAAAGGATCTTCTTCAGATAATAAAATAAAAATCTCAAGAAAGCATTCCCTTTTCTTATCTGCCTAGCTTATTCCTATATTTACTAAAGATCAGATGGAACTGGTCAGTATAGTATTGCAAATCAATTACTGTAGAAAACAGGAAATCAAGTATATATTCTAAAAAATAAAAATTTCTTAGCTTTTCATGTAGGTGATTCTATTTTTAGACTTAGCTGCTTACTAGCCCTGATATCCATAAAAAGAAAGAATGATAGAGTAGTCCTGCCATATCTGTGAGGTCAGTACCTGTGCTTTCAGTTATCCACTAACTGAAAATATGAAATAACAAGCCCTAGAAATATGAGTTTCCAAAGAACTGGCCACTAAAGGGAATTAGAGATTATGTTATATATGTAGCATTTGCACATCTACAGTTATTAGAGACTATGCTATATATGTAGCATTTGCACATCTACAGTTTTCAGTATCAAGGGGGGGTGGGGTTGGAACTGATCCTGCTCAGACACCACAGTCCTACTGTAATGTTTAATTACAATGCCAAATGCAGTATGTTTGGTATATAAATAATAAATAAAAGATATGGTTGTGTAAGTGAATTATTGAATGGAGAAATGCTAGAAACATGATTTTATTCTCTCTTGCTCCCCTTTAGGGTGATGATCCATATCCCTGGCCAATGTTTTCATCCTATCCTTTACCAACATGCTATCTTGCTGAATTTCCTAGAAAGACCGATTCGAGGCAAGGTATTGTATATTGGTTTAGTGGAACTGATACATTAGGGGGAAAAGGGAATAAACTATGTAAATTTTTATTTATTTCTGATGTTGATATTGTATGACTTTGTGCACCTACATGTTAGTTTGCTTTTTGTTTTGTATGCAGCCTTTCGCCCATAGAGCATTCGAGGTAGCTCACAATTAGCCAAAAACTACACAATAATGACCATTAAAAAATAGTGCAAAAAATCTATAAAAACAAGTAAACATATATCAGTATTAAAAACCACCATTAAAAACAGTTTTTTTAAAACATGGTTTTAAAATCTCTAAATTCAGTAGACACAGCATTCCTATAAAAAGAAAAAGAAATTATCGCTTAAAAGCATGCCTGACAGGGAAGGTCTGCACCTGATGACAGAAAGACAGGCTTCTTGAGGAAGTACGTTTTCTCTTTCATCTTGACCAAATGAGTCAAAGATGGTAGTAGGACTAAGGCAAGGGGCTTCCCAGAAGATCTTAACAGCCAAGGAGGCTTATATGGAGTTTTATGATCCTTCAGCTAGCCTGGACCCAAGCTGTATAGGGCTTTGTAAGTCATAATCAGCACTCTGAATTGGACATAGAAATGGACTGGCAACTAGTGAAGCTGTTGTAATAGGATAGTGGTGCCTCGCATAACGAGCGCACTGTTTAACGATGAATCCGCATAGCGATGCGGATTTTGCGATCGCTAATTGGATCGCATACCGATGTTTTATCGAATTGCGATGGGGGAACAGCTGTTCAGCGGTTCCAAAATGGCCGCCGGAACACCCAAAATGGCCGCGTGCAGCGTTTTCGCAGATGGGGAAACATCGCAGAACTGTGAGTTTTGGGCCCATTTGGAATGCATTAAATGAAGTTTAATGCGTTCCAATGGGCTTTTCCATTCTGTTTAGTGATGTTTCCCCATAGCGATGTTTCCCCCTATGCGGGCCACCACTGTATATGTGCTCCATATAACTAGTGCCAGTCAGCAGCCTGGCTGCAGCATTTTAAACCTGATGACATTTCCAAGCACTTTTCAAAGACAGATAAAGTAGTGTTCATTGCAGTAAACCAGATGGGAAGTAACTAAGGTATGTCACCATAGCCATATCACACATCTCAATGAACAGACAGAAGTTTTTGCACTGGCTTGAACATAAAATGCTCTCCTGGCTGCTGTTAAACTTGAGTATTCAGGCTCATGGTTGAATCTAGGAGCACAACTAAGCTGCAGATATGACTTTTCAGGGGAAATTTGCCCCCACCCAGTGCTGGCTGAATTCCTATCCCTGACCCACCTGTTGACACCAGAAGACCTCTGTCTTGTCTGAATTAAGTGTTAGTTGTTTGCCCTCATCCAATCCATTACTGAGTATGAATACTGGTTTAGATGCCAAATAACTTCCTTGGAATCAGATGGAAAGAAGAGATGTAGCTAGGTACTGATGGCACCGAACCCTAACTCTCGAGACATTCCAGCAGTTTCATTTAAATCTTAAATGTTATGGGGACAGAACTAAAACTTCAGGGAACCCCATAAGCCAATGGGCCAGGGGATCCAATACTACGGTCTGAATTTTGACCGCCATATAGAATTGGAACCTCTATGAAACCTCTGTGAACCAGTGCCTCCAAAACTCATCTGTGAAAGATGCTCAAGATGGATACTGAGAAATTCACTGAGAAGTCTAGCAGAACCAAAAGGGACACACTCCCCCCTGTCCCAATTCTCTACATAGGTCATCCTAGGCAGTCAAAGCTGTCTCCTTCGTATAACTAGACCAGACATCATGTGGAATTGATTCTAGATAATCTATATACATAATCGACATACAAGTGTTAAAAAAGTAGGGAAAATATGTAGTAAACATATCATCTGTCTAGTACCTGAAGTTCACCATGGTCACTTGCTAGAGGATTTTTTTTCCATTTTTCTGTCTGCTTACATAGTTTGGTTTGTACTTTATGGATCTCCATTAAGCCATTGAATTACAGGAAGTTACCACAAATGTAGAGATTGTACCAAGCAAAAATCCCATGTGAAAAAAAGCACATTGGATGTAGATATTTATTGACCAGACAAGCAATATAAGTGCTGCACACACTTAAAGCACTTAATGCTCCTTTTCAAGAGATAAAATAAAAATCTCTGTGAAGCTTATCTGTACAAAATAAAGAACTTTGCTGAATGTACGTTATCTTCCATGGGCTGTGCTCTTGAAAAACAGTCTTATGTGTTCAAAGTGTGCCAGAATTTAATTTAATTTTTTACTTGTGTCTACTCCACTTCTCTTCTACTTTGAATTATAAGGCATATATATCCACTAGGATTAAAACTGTGTTTAATATCCATGTCCATCATTAAGTCTTGAATTGAAAACAGGATGGCTTTACAGTATTATTGTTCCTTAAATGTAATGCAAACACAGCAAGGTTTTTATAACAAATGAAATCAGATATTAGGGTAAAATGATTTATGCAAATCTAACAAAGGACAGTCTGGAAATGAATTAGTTGTGGGTTCTGTCCCCCCCCCTCTCCCGATACCATTAAGGAAAGCTCAGACTAATTTTAGGAATCATTTTCCTATATAAATACTTTCCAACTGGAGTTTAATTAGTATTAGAGATGGAGGTATTCATATACAGATATGAATATCCCTGCAGAGCTGGACTTAACAAGGTATGATTGGACATTCCAGGGGCCGGACCGACCAGTCATGCATCTAGTGGCGGCGGCAGCCTCAGTCAGCCTTCCAATTGCTCCTGCAGTGCCCTCTCTTTCCACTCATCTAGCCAACTCCAGGCAGGTTTAGGGAGGACAAGTCTCCCTGCACGGCTGCCAAGTGGCTAGATGAGCGGAAAGAGAGCGGTGCTCTGGGAGCGATTGGAAGGCTGACCGAGGCTGCTGCTGCCACTGCTGGGTATGTGAGTGCACAGTCCAGCCCCAGGGGCTGGACCCTCAGTAAGTCTAGCTGTGCAGTAGTATTTGTATATGAATACGAAACTTATGGTGATGCTTCTCAGAGATTTCATGATATAAAGTGCACAGAAATACTTTACAAGTGCTGTCTTCTGGGAGCACTCTGGGATAACATGGCTTGTCTGAGGTCATACAAGCTGGCTCTCCTTCTGAGGAGGTACAGTGGGGAATCGAACTCTGTACCCTGGCTTTGCAGCCAGTTGTTCAAATTCATTCTGCTATGCAACCAGCTTAAGGTGTTGCTCTAATAATTTGTAGGCGTTCAGAGGCAATCATTTGTAGGCAGAAAGCGGAATCCCAAGAAATATTGCAGACTTACTGAACTTAAAAGTATATAAGGAAATGTGTGATAAAGCAGACAATAAATAAAGATCTTTTTTGTAATCTCAAAGGCTTTCATGGCCAGGATCTGATGGTGGTTGTAGGTTTTTCTGCTAAACATCCTGAAAAACCTACAACGAGATATCTTTTTTATTTTATTTTTTTATTTTACTGGCCCAGACTGTTTTAGCCTAATACATGTTCCCACTGCATACTTCTGTTCCTCAATTGGCTCTACCTTTGTAGAGAGATGCCTAGATATTTAAATCTATATTACTGTGATGTTAAGATAGAAACAGGAACATCAGAAAGCATTTTTTTTTTAAAAAAAACAAAAAACTATAAACCTGTCCCTTGCTCTTCTGTCTCTTTTCTGGTGGGTAAGAATGGTAAGATCTGAAAGGAAATCTATAGCTTGGCCCACATAAAGATGGCTACTGCTGGAGGAAGAGGCTTTTGCAGGCCAAGTATACTCAGTGCTACTGCTGCTGTTTAAGAGGCTAGGCTTTGGTATATCACAAAAAGATGTGTACCTGTTTTTTCGAACTACACTTTAAGATTATGTATTTAAGTACAGAATAGGCATAGGACAAGTAGACATAAAATAAATAATATAAGATGTAGAATAATTATGGTGTGAGATATATCCAGCCAGGAATTTTAGCTAATGTTTCAAACGCCCTACCTCTAAAAGAATTTCTGCAGATGTGGTTACCAAAACTGGCAACAGAGAAAGAAAGTGCAAGGAGGGTTTTGCTGCCACAGATAATGGTCAGCATAACAGTTATTGTTTTTTCCTTGGGCCTAGCTAAATGAAGTTGACCAAAGGCAGAAACTTAAATTGGGCTTTGCCCCAGCAGAGCTTTTGAGGGATGAAGCCTTTTGCTCTGATTCCTTGGCAGTTGTGCATGCTGAATCGGTGAGAAGAACTGTACTACAATTTTGCAAAATACTCTGGATTGGTCAGATGAATTCCAATAACAGGAAGACAATTTAAGTATAAATTATTAAGGTCTTAATAGGAATTTTAAATGGATTTTTGCAGTGAAACAAAAAGCGGATATTTTCTATTTAATTAAAGAAAAGGCTACTGGCATTTGCAAGTGATTATTTCATTTAGGAAGTTGAAGGAAGTTGAATACTGAATGGAGCATTAGCATGCTGCCATGAAGCAAGAATATCAAGTAACTTAAGGGAAATAGGTTTTTAAAGTTGGACCACATAAATAATTAAACCATGCATCTTTTTTAAACTTTTAATCTTTATTGCATTTTAAAAAATATAAAAATAAGTATATAATTATTACAATATTAGCACATAACCAAAATAACTTTCTATTATCTCTTGCAAAACAGACATTTATTTTCTTCGCAATCTTAATAATACCTTTTTAAATTCTTATTTTATATCCATATTAACAAGCTGCTTCACTTTGTTTTTACTTCTATTGAGAGCAGTTCTGCTTCTAATTTAAGCCTAAGTCAGTTGGTACAGGTTTGGAATCTTTCTTCCATTTCTCTTTAAGATAATTCTTTCCTTTCCCCCATTGAAATCCGTGCTCCGTTCTACTCTTTCTTTTCAATGAGTCTGTTAGTTTATCCATTAATATTAGTTCCTGTAATTTTATTAAACAATCATCCATCGAAGGTTCCTCCTTGTCTTTCCATTGTTTTGCCACTTGAATTCTGGCTGTGCCTAATATGTATAAACAAATGTTTGTCTCTTGTCTTGAGTTTAGCTTTACCATATTTAACAAATAAGTTTCAGGTTTCATCTCCATTTTTATTTTTAAATCTATGGTGATTAATAGCACCATGTATGAGATAGATAGATATACAGTGGTGCCCCACTAGATGCTTAACCCGGTAAACGACGAAATCACTTGACAATTGCAAAATGATGGTTCCTATGGGGGAAATCTGCTTTATGTTGATTAGGTCCCTGCTTCGCGAACCGTTTGTTCGCTAAACGATTATTTTTCCGGCTCCGCAAAATGGCTTCCCTTCGCAAAACAGCTTCCCTCCCTTCGCAAAATGGCTGTTTTCTGGACATAAGCTTCAGAAGACAGCGATTTTAAACAGCTGATTGGCAGTTCTCTGTGGGCGATCTTCGCTTGACGATGAGGTATTTCCCCATTGGAATGCATTAACCGGTTTTCAATGCATTCCAATGGGTTTTTTTCGCATGACGATGATTTCGCTGTACAGCGATTTTGACAGGATTATCGTCATCATGCAGGGCACCACTGTATATCTATATCTCATTGCACTGGAGGTTATTTTAAGATCACCTCCAGTCATAAATATATAAATTTTATATATATATAAATGAACTTGATCAACTTGTTTCTTTGACAGGGGCTGGACTCAATGTTTCAAAGGGTCCCTTCCAGCTCTGCAGTTCTAAAGTTATTATTATATTAAAAGCTTGATATTTAAAAGTTATGAATATCACATTTGTAAGTCTCATGAGGCTGATTCAGAGCTGGTTCTTGATGGTTATTTGAAAAAACCCATAAGTAAATTTTAATTTCAGGGGTCTTCAAGTAAATACTAAAAATAATTTTAGTATTTCATGCTTCTAATATTGCATTCATGTGTAATTCACGTGGTTTTATCTTTTTCTCTGTGTTAGATAGATTATATTCTTTAAAATAGCCTTTTAGAAAACCTTGTACTCATTCAGATGTATTTGAAAGTCTGCTCATTGCTGATTTGCATATTTTAGCCACATATTGTGTTGGTATAGCATGAGTTAACTGGCTCCCTGTGATTATTAGCTTGCACAACTGACAAGGAGAATATTTTAGTTTTGGATCCCCAGGAGTGAAGTGTGAACATGTCTTAAGTGATTAGAGAGATCCTTGTTTGTCTGTTTCAACATGATGACAAGCATAAGTGAAGGGGAGGGAAAGGACAAAAATTTGTGCCACATTAAAGACTTACATACTTGTTTCTATATGAGGATTTTGTATAGCAAAACCTCATTCCTTCCAAAATCTATGTCAGGTTTTGAGGAAGTAGATTTTAATAAACAAAAGCTCAGAGAAAAATAAATATCTTATTATGTAAGGTGCAACAACATTTTATTCTTTCCTCCTACCTTTTTAATTTTGACTGACTAAAGATATTGAAACCGCACAAATATCTTCCTGTATGCATGCAATACAGAGCTTTGTGACGATTAACAAGAGGATAAAAGTTAATAAGTTTTATTTTAAGATCACCTCCAGTAATAGCATTCTCAGAAAATGTGTACCCAGGTGATATATCCAAAGTAGGGTGGCTCAGAATTAAAAAAGAAAATTATTTGCTTTCTTTGGGGAACCTTAAGTTTTGCAGAAGTACAAAACATCTGTCTCAGGAAAAAATATCAAGATGTTTAGAAGAAGAAGAAGAAACCCCCCTGAAATAGTCCGGTGAGGGCTGAGCATGCTCAGTGGCTACAGTTCATTGTGGAGGAAGTAGAAAATGAGGATGTGGAAATGGAGTTCAGTAACATAAGAAAGGAGCTTAGCTGAGCATTTGGAACACTACACAGGAGTATTCAATTTGAAGTGTGCCCCATTGACTAAAATATTTCCAGTAAACAAATGGCTAGGTTTGCAATCTGAAGTCCAATTACCCTGTTTCCCCAAAAATAAGACCTAACCTGAAAATAAGCCCTAGTATGATTTTTCAGGATGTTCGTAATATAAGTCCTACCCCCAAAATCAACCCCAGTTAAGTGAGGTTGAATAAGTTTGAGGTTGAATATGTGAGCAGTAGCAACTTTTCATTTTAGAACAAGTTATCTTATATACAAAGTAACTACAGTGGTGCCTCGCTTAACGGGCACCCTGTTTAACGACAAAATCGCATAGCAATGAAGATTTTGCGATCGCAAAAGCGATCGCATTGCGATGTTTTAAATGGGCAAAAATCGCTTTGTGATGATCGGGACCCTTCTTCGCTTACCGATCATCGCAAAGCAATGATTTTTTAACAGCTGATCAGCGGTTCCAAAATGGCCGCCAGGTTAAAAAAATTGCTGCCCGCTGTTTTTTGGGACAGATTCCTCGCTTACGGGGCAGCAAAAATGGCCGCCCTATGGAGGATTTTCATTTAAACATGAGTCTGAAGCCCATAGGAATGCATTGAAGGGGTTTTCATTCATTCCTATGGGCTTTTTTTAATCGCATAGCAACGAAATCGCTTTGCAGTGATTTTTGTTGCACCGATTATCGTCGCTATGCAAGGTACCACTGTATAATAAATAGCTCCCTGGAAATCCACACTCCTGTCCTGAGATACACTCTAACAGTTTCTTCTTAACTCTCTTTTAAAAACTTCTCTCTTGTTTAACTATCCCTTGTTGTCTTCTCTGGATTGGTTCTCCAATCAATCAATCATGTTCTTCTTGATGATGCTGGATAGGTTAGGTGAGGGTTTTATCACGCCCACACATAGCCATAGGCTCCCAAAACCTTTCTCTGGCCACTTGGTTGTTTTCTTCCGCATCAGGAACATAGATTTTGCTCATTGTTATGCAGGCTCAGAACTGTGAGGTAGACTAGTAGAATAAATGGTAATTTCAGTAATTACGGCGCCACTTTCCCCACCCATTGCAATCCCAGGACTATGTTTACTATAGTAACTTGTGTAAAAACCAATTTATACTTGTCTTTATTGTTATGAATGTGTCCAGTCACTCATTAGACTTGGTTATATTCTGAACAAAGTATCTGTGTAGATTAGGGGAAAATGTAATCTTTCTTTTCTCAAATGTTCTTTTCAGGAAACTTTGTTAGACCAAAATAAAACCAGGTGTTTTTTGGTTTTTTTGCTAATTGTGGTGATTATTTAGTCTAAAATAAAGTAGCCATTTTCTTACTAGTGTTTCCATCTTCCTTTTAGATGATGATACTAGCAGACTTTTATCTGATTTAAAGAATCCAGATAAACAGCTGGGATGGATTGAAAATGTTCAGAAACAGTTTTGTGAAATTATGGAAAACAAACCTAACGTTATGAACGGCACCAGTGAGTTTCATTCTTCTTCTTCTTCTTCTTCTTCTTAAAACAACAACAACAACAAAACAAACAAACAAACAAACAAAAAACCCTGCAATACTATATTGATAATTCTCTATGGTGATTCCTAAGAATTATTTGTTTGAAGGTATATTTAAAAGAAGTGTTATTTCACCAGATTATCTTGAAATAACCTAACGTTTCACTAAAATTTACTGACAGCATTTCATTTGGGGTAAACCTAGTTTCGAGTGTACATTATCCAGGGAAGTTTCTGTTTCCAAATTTGTGTTTGCCAGGACAACATGATTACAGAGACAAAGTGGGAGAACTCTTGCATTTGAGAGGTCTTTTGTTGCCTCCTGCAAGGAATATTTTGAATTGTGTGGTGTGGCTGGAAAAAAAACTATTAAAAACTGCTTGAGATCATTTACAGAGGAGAAATAGTAGCCAGGGAGATAATGCATTGTTCTCTGGCAGCTGCAGCCTAGGTTCCTACATTCGTGCAAATAGGAAGATCATGTTCTCTTGTGATTTGCATTCGTGCCCTTTAGAACAGAGAGGGGAAGGATTCACAAGTAAACCCATGGTGCAGGGATCCTGGCTCCACAACAAAACTATGAAGAAGCAAAGTCGACCACAAGTCCACCATACAAGGTGAAGACTTGTATGTGTGTATTATTATTATTTACACTTCTGTACTGCCCCAACAGTGCAAACACTCTCTGTGTGATTCACAGCCCATCAAAACATAATTACAGTCATACAAACAATCACACAAAATGCAATGAATACAATAAAAGCCTTGTTTCTAGCAATAAACTTCAATAATGCTGGAGTTAGGGGCCCCATGTAGTTCAGAATTCATATATAACTCTTATGTTCCCCAAAACATAACTACAAAACATGGCAGCTTCAGCAAAAGCTGGTTGAGGCTGGGGGTGCGTCTGGCAGAGGTTGGCTTGACTCCTCCACCAGATTTAAAGCAGGGCTGGCCATTTGCAGAGGCAAGCTGTGTTGCTGCCACTGCTGCTGCAGCAGAGAAGCTGGGCTCTTACTAAGTGATTATTCCAGAGGATGGCACAGGAGAAGCCAGAGGCTGCTGTTTGCCTCCCTGCTGGCCAGCAGCTGTGGGACAAAGAGGAGAAGAGGAAGCTGGTATTTGTAGCCCAAGTAGTGGTGGTGACTGCTTTGTGCATATGGTAACCTCACTGCTGCTGGTATCCCAACCTTCTCCTGCCTGTTCCTCACAGCTGGAAAATTGCCTCATCGACTGTGACCAGCCTTCTCTTTTGCAGTGGGAGCCAAGCTGCCAGTGAAAAATAAAGAAACAGTCTGGAGAGCGAGCAAAGCTGAAAGCAGTTGGCTCCAGCCCAGGCTGCTGCTTCCTCGCCATCCGTCCCAGCAGGAGAGCCAGTCAAAGGCCTCAAAAAATTAATATTGTTTGTAAGCAGAACCGTGCTGCTTGGCCCTGTGCAATTCAAGGGATAAGTGTATAATGGGGTTTAATTTAAAGTGTATAATAGGTTCTGCTGCATTTTTAGAATGGAAGTAGAATGCTAGTCTTGTTTGACTAGAAACTTCTAACACATATATGGGATAGTGTTCAAAATATTTTCAGTGTGTACAATTTATGTGAATATAATATAGTTCCAAGCCTGCTGTGTGGTTTAAATAATGTAAGTCATATATATCCCACAAGATATAAAAATATGTTGGCAGTTGTAGAGAAAATATTTTCTTAAATTCTACACTCATGGCTCCTTGGTGATTAAAACTAATGAACTTATGGGGGGGTGGGAAGAAATATATTCTGCTTTTAAAGAGGCCATATCAATTATCCAAAGGCAAGTGCATATTATTTATCATAACTGCTCTGTGGTAACAAATGAACACAATTCTATATTTACATTTTGTTAATGTTGTAGTGAGAAGGCTGATAAATTTCTGTGCTTCCAGCAGTTGTAGCAAATAGCTATGCAATAAAGCAGATGAACACATATTAACAAGTCAGGAAATGAAATGATTATTCAGAGAGGAAGTTTCATAAAAAGTACTGCCACGACAGAAGATTTTAACCAAGCAAAATTTCAGATTTAAAATAGCTTGTATTAATAGTATGGGCATATTAAAATGCAACAGGTTATGAGGCAGTTCACTAGCAGACAAGCAGCTTCTAGCAATTTGTTCTGCTGTTGGAGGAAGGAGGAGGGGCTGATGTCCTTTTGTCAAGGGTTTTGTGAGGAAGTGGCTTTTTAAAAAAGTATTTTTGGCTTTTAAAGAAAATTGCTGCAGTTCTACTGGTATTCATGTAATGTTTGCATAATTTGCCGTGACTAATTGCAGCTAATTCATGAGCTGTTACAGAACATTTCTGTTGTGCAGATGGGTATGTGACCATGGACATTACTGAAATATATCCCAGCACCTTATCGATTTGCTACAGTTTTCCACTGCAAACTATACAAAACCTTACATGAATTCCTATAGAGTTCTCGCCAATGTTTTGTGACAACTCCAGATTTGAGTGGCTTACAGTAACAGTCCACTTCAATAACTCTTTTGAAGTTTATGGGTTTCAGTATCTTTTCACTCAGTTGTGGAAGTGGGCACTCCAATTTCAAGTGCCATGGTCTCTTTGAAATCTGTAGGTTAAAAACTTTAGCCAGTTAAAGCACCAACATTTGACATATTTAATCATTTTTCTCCAGATGTCTAGATAAGAAAGTTGTAATGGGGATGATTCTTCTTATATTAGACCAGATACAGTAGAAACTAGCGTCACTCAGGTTTACTGATGTCAACTGTAATATATACCCAAAATATTTTAACCCCAAAATATCCTCAGAAGCAGGGGAGGATTATCAGGAGACAGGTATCAAGTCTTTTTTCCCCCAGAGGCATCTGGTGGGGCCATTGTGAAATATAGGAAGCTGGACTAGATGGGCCCTTGGCCTGATCCAGCAGGGCTCTTCTTATGTTCTAACCTTCCTCTGTTAGAATTTCAGAACAGAGAATGAGGAAAAACATGGTCTCCCCAGTTGCAGGTTGAAGTGTGAATATGTGCAGTGGAGTCTGCTCTGCTTTTATGACTTCCTCATGTGGTTCGGCACATTGATGGATTACAAGTATCCTGTTTCCCTGAAAATAAGGACCTAACCTGAAAATAAGCCCTAGTATGATTTTTCAGGATGCTCTTAATATAAGCTCTACCCCCAAAATAAGTCCTAGTTAAGTGAAACCCCGTCCTTCACCATTGTGCAGCATTATGCAGCAACCAGAAGATGACATGACTGTAAAATGAAACTTCCCCTGAAAGCCCTAATGCATTTTTGGAGCAAAAATTAATGTAAGACCCTGTCTTATAAAGTTTCAAGGAAACACGGTAACAAGAAGAAGAAGAAGAAGAAGTTTTAACAACAACTGATTATATGTGCAAGCATAACTAAGTTGCAAAGATGATTTTTCAGCAGTTGGCTAAATCTAATGGATTACTCACACCTTTTCCTCCATATTATAAATTCCAATTTCAGAAAACAAAACTGCAATTCTTTCCTGGGACAAGCATATTGTCATGGATAAAGCAGTTGATTTTAATAAGCTAGCTATTATACTTCTGGATATGTAGCAAAGAAAAATGCACCTGAATTCCATTGACAAACAACCTCTGTAACTAATGACCATTTTTGGAAAATTTGGTATGAAAAGTTCAGCAGGTCCAAAATGCGGCTGTCAAACTGATCACTGGTTCCAGCAGATATGAACATATATTCCCAGCTATGGCACACCTTCGCTGGCTCGTTGTTAGTTTCCATGTCCAATTCAAGAGGCTGATCGTGACCTATAAAGCCCTTAATGTTTCAGGACCTCGATACTTGTCAAAATGTCTCTTCTACAAAATAGCTACCTGTCCCACCTGCTCCTTGTAATTCTTGATTCTAAAAATTGTGACACCTAAGGAGGCCAAAAATGCTCATGCCAGGAACTATGTGTTCTTGGTCTTGGCCTCTTCCCTCTGGAATAAGCTTCCCACAGAAGTTATTCACGTGTTATCCCTCCAATATATTCGCGAAGGCTTTCACGGCCGGGATCTAATGGTGGTTCTGGGTTTTTCAGGCTCTTTGGCCATGTTCTGAAGGTTGTTCTTCCTGATGTTTCACCAGTCTCTGTGGCCGGCATCTTCACTCCCAAGTCAACTACACCAGAGTACAGGTTGCTGTCCTCTGAAGATGCCGGCCACAGAGACTGGCAAAATGTCAGGAAGAACAACCTTCAGAACACGGCCAAGGAGCCCGAAAAACCCAGAACAACCATTATCCCTCCAAGCTTTTAGGAAGTTAATTATAATGGAATGGTATAAAACTGCCTTTATTAGTGTTTTACCTAATTGATCTGAGATGTTAAATTCATTTAAATTCATTTATTTTTACTCGTATTGATTTATTGATTTAGCTAGTGACAAATCTTGTAATGTATTTCTTGTATACTGTGGTTATTGTTTTGTGTGATCTATAATTATGTCATCAGATAGGTTGTAAACCTCCTAGAGAGTATTGATTTATTGATTTAGCTAGTGACAAATCTTGTAATGTATTTCTTGTATATTGTGGTTATTATTTTGTGTGATCTATAATTATATCATCAGATAGGTTGTAAACCTCCTAGAGAGTGTTCACACTAATGGGGCAATATAGAAGTTGAAATAATAAATAAGGGATCTTTCCACACTGATCCATATTGAAGTAATCTCTGCATTTTATCTATATCTAACATTGAGGGGCTTGGAAGCTTTGGCTGGTACAAAATGCTGCTATCCACCTCTGGATAAGGGCTGGGGAGGTGGGAGCATATCCAGCCTACTTTACTGCATTCATTCTGTTTATTCATACTGGCTCGTTATTTGTTTTAAACTTCCAACCTTTTGTTGATCTGAACACCACATTTATCACATCTCTAAAAACTTTCTATGTTTTACAATGCATCCACTTGTCTGATTATTTGTGTCTTGTGGACTGGGAAGAACCATTTTAAGCTTGGGGTCCTTAACCACAGTTGTGCTAAAGCAGTGTATTGAATTCCTCAGTGTGACAATTGGAAGGAAACCTTGGAAATTTTACATAGTACTAATTGTTCCACTTATATTGCTCACAAGGTGCCCTGCACCTTTTGCTAAGGTGAAAGATAAGAGTCAACTAAAGGAATATTTTCCTGTAGTATTAAGCCCTTGATTTCTTAAAAAACCCAAGAGTTATGTTATCAGTATTCATGTTTTAATTAAATGTGATTAAGAAATCAGATATATAATTATGTAAATCAATCAAAATTATGTTTTGAGTCAGATCTATGCTTAGGTAATTTGTATGACTATCTGAACATTGCTCCAACTATTTGCATGGTTTACTGCCCACGTATAAGAAAATCAGTGAGGCGATAATGACATAAGAGGTTCGCTTCCTAATTTTAATTTTATTTGTTTAAAAAAAAACAGTGTTAGCAAGTTTGCCTTTATACAGATGACTTTCAGAAAGAATGAGAAAATAACAGACCACTAATTAATACCAATATTTTTCTGCACAGTGAAACTCTGAATGTTGTGTTTTCTTCATTTCCATTGCATTTGGGTTACCTCAGTATGCTTGCTGAGGATGATAGAATGCTTGCCCTGTGAATTTGTGAACATCTGGTAATATTAGACAAGATTAGTTCAATCCCTTTTGTAGAGAAGGAGTGTGCCATCATATAGTGTCATGATTTTGGTACTATTGAGATATACAGTATATCTTTCTGCTTCTGTCTGGTTTATCACTATTATACCACTATGAACTGTAACAGGGATCTATGCTTGGGGAGCCAAACAATCCTGTCTGTAGTTATTAAAAGGTGACAAAATGACACAGAATGTGAGGACCGAGAACACATTTGCATGTCTAATTAGCATTCACAGTGCCCTGTCTGCTGATACTTCCACTCAAGAAGTATCATTGAAATGCTTCTGATAGGAACAAAGAATAGTTAATAAAAATACTAGTATCTGCACCATCATTTTTTTAACCTGTGTGGAGATGAACTGTACTGAAGATCAGTCAAGTGCTGTCGACATCCAACTCTAATTCATGGCAATCTCATTCAGTACATGCAGACTCTGCCTAGACAGCATAGCAAGGTTGTTGATTATGTGAAAGGATGCAGATAGCTGTGTTGGCACTCTGTATTTCAAGGAAGAATAGAAACTCTAAAGTGCATTGACCTTTACTTCAAGATGAAGGCCAAAGTTTCCTCCTCAGTTCACTTGCATAGGCAAAGTAGACAGCACAATCTAATTACAGCTAATTTTTCTTATGTTGGAACTGTCCAACAAATTTGAAGTAATCCTTGGAGGATATGAGCATAACAAATTATTCCTTTTCCATTTACACTGAATAGATTGTCAGAGAAGCCATTAAAAGTTTAAATTGGGCATGCTGTTATGAATACAAAAATAGAATACATGTTTTGAATTGTTTGCAGGGTAAGTCTCGATAAATATGCAGCGGTTCAGACCACTTTGCTTTCCTCTACGCATTAACTTTGCTATTGATATGGGTTTGCAGGAGTCGGTTTGTTTTTTTGTGCTGTTGCTTAATCATTTGGCTTATTGCAGATTTGTCCGAATTAATTGAAAAGTTTGTGTTGCATCTTTCTGAAACACCATCGGAATGTTACTTCAGTAGCAGAGAAAATGAAGGTAATTTTCTTCTTGTTCTATTGCTTGTTCTATATTTTAAGTGGCTTATTTTGTATGTTGTTAGCCGCCCAGAGTAGTCAGTTGATTAAATGGGCGGGGTACAAAATAAATAAATAAATTCTTTAACTTTATTATTCTAGCCTGTGTTAGAGAATTGAATTGACAAAAGTCAATGGCCACCCATTGTATTTTCAAAGGATTAGTCATTTGACATTTATTTATTTATTTAACTTATATGCCACCCACTCTACCCAAAGGTCTCTGGGCGGCTTACAACAATTAAAATTTGTGCTATGGTATCTTCCATATCTCTACTTTCTTTGTTAAAAGTATTGAACAGTATACCATTGCAACATATATTGTAAATTCTCTCTCTCTCACACACACACGCATGGAGAGAGAGAGAGAGAGAAATCCCTTAGCTAGTTTTCTAACCAACAGGGAGTGTAATAATAGTTTATTCTAGAATTTTAATGAATAGAATCAATGTGTTATATGAAAGTAATTTCAGGACAATGCATTGATATTCAGTGTTATGTTTCTGGAAATGAGAAATTGATTATCTTAAACTACAGCAGCTTTCTAAACCCTTAGGTAGTTGAAATTAGAATAACACAATTCATCCAGCTGTTGTGAAATCCCTCAGGATTTCAATCCATTATAAAATTTGCAAATCTGGAAAAATCAAATTAGTTTTGCTTAACGTTTTAAAGATGAGGGTGAATAATAAGCTAATATATTGACATTTATGCAGTTGCAGTTTTTTAATTATAAACAGCAGCAAAAGTTAACTCTGTATTGCCTGCCTATGTGACCTTAAGTAAAGAGTCTACTTAAAGTTTCTGTCACAAGACTGTAGGAAATCCTTTAAACTTTAAGTGAATGTGTCATTTCTAGGATTTAACCACTGTTGGAGAACTATGCCTTCTTACAGATATCAGAAGCCTACACACACACACACGTACACGCACACAGCACACAGCACACACTTGTTCTTTTCCTGTACCTAGGCTAACCAACTAGCTCTAGTGGTAATAGTGGAGTCTTGTCAGTGCTGATAACAGTGTTCATACTTAAATATAAAGATACTATGATGGTACCGGATGTGGTTTTGTACTGTGCTCCTTCAGACTGCAGATGGGAGCTCCTTATGCTTAAATGTTCCTTTGCAGAAGAATACCATGTTAGGCAAAAGGCTGTGCTAAAACCCATTTCCCTGGTGTAATTTTTAGGGTCTTGAAATTTATTTCATTTGGCATGCATGCAAGAATACTCAGGCATATGGTACTTTCACTTTAAAGTGGTATGCTCCAGCCACCGCTGAAAGAAAGCTGGTCAGTAAAGTCCTACTCTGCGTGTTTCAAGGTAGATTTGCCCCCAATCTCAAAACATATTTTCCGTTTCCTTGTTCATATTTGGTGTCCATTGTTGGTCATGTGGACTGTCAACTGAGAGTGGAATTGGCCTTGCCTCCGAGTAAAAGTCCCACACTTACTGCCTCATAGTTGTGATAGTAATTACAAAGCACAGCACTAACTACACAAGTATAAGATACACTGCAAGTTTGATTTGAGAAATGGCTATTAAAATAACATTTCTTTGTTGATTCCTACAGTGTTTTTATTTGCGTGCATGGCACTTACGTGGGTTTAACTGATGTCTAAAACTAAAAGTCTAGACTTCTTACAGTGGTGCCTCCACTTACGAACATCCCTACTTACGACCAATCGACTTATGACCAGCTCCGGCCACAAAAGTTTGCTTCTATTTGTGACCGGAGCTTCCACTTACGAACAGAAAAAGGCAGGGGAAAAAGGCGGGAATTCAAATTGCTAACTGTAGGTGGCAAAAGAGGCTGCTTCTTTGTAGCTCTTTCGCCCCGACAGTTAGAGAGAGTGTGTCATCATCAGAGGCTTGGGACTGCCTCCTTCTGCTTCGGAGTGAGTGTGTGTGTGTTTGCAGGAGGTAAGGTGCTGTTTCTGCTTTTTAAAAACTTCTGGGTGTTTTCGCAGTGTGATTTTAGGCTGGAGGGGTTATGTTTCTGTGCTGTGATGGGTCTTGGGGGTTTGTTTGTTTTTTGGGGTTTCCCCCATTTCCAGTGGGTCTTGGGGGGTTTGGTTGCTTTTGGGTTTTTTTCCCCTTTTCTGATGGGTCCTGCATGCTTTGTTTTCTGTGCATTTCTGACCTTGTCCCTCTGTTCTCTGTGCATTTTCAGTCTGCTCCATTTGTTTTCTGTGAATTTGCAATGGGTCTTGCACGCTTGATTGCTTCCCCCTACCCTTTTTCGGCTGGAAGGGATTAGTTGCTTTTCCAATGAGTCTTGCAGTGATTTTTTTGGTGATTTTTTTCTTTGGCTGGAATGGATTAATGGAGTTTCAATGCATTCCAATGGGAAATGGTGCTTCAACGTACGACCATTTTGACTTCTGGAACGGATTATGGTCGTAAGTGGAGGCACCACTGTACTTCATTCATGGTTAATTTTCTTCTTCTTCTGTAAAACCTGCCTGAACTCTATGGAATACTTATTTGTTAAAGGACATATAACTCCAGTTGAAAGAATTCCTTGAAGTGCTGACAAACTTAGTGTCATGCTAAATCTAAGCATGGAGCTGAATGTGTCTCATTAAATTTGATGAGGCACAGATTTTACATCTCTTTTTCACCTCTTTCATTCAAGGTAGCAATCAAATCTCAAACTCATGGACTGTGTTTAAAATCTGACCTTTTATTATTTGAATTTATTTCAGTCTTTCCAGTAGATATCACAAATGAGAACACTTTTGCCAGCCTACCAAACAGACAGTAAAGATGCAAATAGAGAAATGCATTTTCATTAATATGTAGACTTGTCACAGGTTAGACCTTAGTAAATTAAGAAAAATGATAATTGCTTGTTCCTTTTTGAAATTTCATGACCTCTATAAAAGCATTTTAACTTGCATATATTGTTCTAGTAGCAGTTTTTATGCTTTGCTGCTAAATATCTTTCAATTATAGTTTTACAGTGTTATGTCGTAATAATGTAGTACAGTGGTGCCTCACTTAGCAATGTTAATCCGTGCAGCAAAAATCGCTGCTAAGTGATTTCATCACTAAGCGATATTAAAAAGCCCATAGAAACACAATAAAATGCCATTAATGCATTTCTATGGCCTTAAAAACTAACCTTAAGTGAAAATGGCATTAATGCATTCCTATAGCCTTAAAAACTAACCTTAAGCGAAAATCCTTTCTAGGGGCAGCCATTTTCGGTACCTCTAATGCGAGGCAACACAGCGGGTGGCCATTTTGTTTACCCAGTGGCCATTTTGGAACCACCGATCAGCTGGCTGAAAATGGGGGCTTTGCGATGAACGCTTTCCTGCGATCATTGCAAAGCGAATTTTCCCCATAGGGACCATCACTAAGTGATTGCAAAAACATCATCGCAAAGCGATTTCTTCGTTAAATGGAGCGATCGCTATGCGCGGCACCACTGTAGTCTGTAAGCAATCAGGAATATTGATATAGTTCTATGCTGATGTCAGAAAATATATATACATACATATGAGGATAAGTTGTTGCCCATATTCTGACTCGTATAGCTAGGTTTGTCCCCTTTATTTATTGTTTATATTGTTTTGTTATTTATATGGTTTAAATCACAAATACATGAAACTTCATTACTACAATTTAACCAGTTCTGTGGTAGTATCAGGAGTAGAGATAGACATAAATTAAAAAACTGAATTGCCAGATTTCTTCAAAAAAGTCACTTATTCATCTATTGACATTCATATCAATCAACGCTGCCTGATGTATATGAATCAATGAATCATAGTGATTTTGGATTCATTGGGCTATAAAATGGCTCCACAGGCACCTGGAGACACCAAGATTGCAACGATGCTTCATCTGACGCTCCTCTAACATCCCTCAAAGTTTGGTGAATAGTGTGGTTCAGATGTCTGAGTCATACACCCACAAAAAAATTCCACCCCCAGGAAATTCCCCTCCCAGGTACCTAGAGAAACCAAAATCACAATGACATTTCCCATGACTCTCCTCTACAATCCCTCCAGTTCTGGTGAAGATTGGTTTTCACCAAGCCAGCTGGGGGAGCACTTTATGGGTATATAACTTGGGTGTCTGAAACGGGGAGCACTTATGGGTATATAATTTGGGTGTCTGAAACCCAGTCTTCACCAAGTTGCAAGGCTTGTAAATCACGGGAAGCTTTTCTGTGAATCCGGTGTCTGTAGGTATTTGTAGGTGCTTGGGGGGCATTTTTTAAGGTTTTAAAGTAAAAAAATTAACAAATCAATTCATCAATTTGTCAGAAAAAAAATTGTAATTCATGATTCATCACAGTTGATCTCTAATCAAGAGTATGGCTCTTGGGACGTTTGGATCTGTCTCCATTTTTTAAAGGAGCAGAAAGTATACATAATAATTCTATGGGTAAACATAATGAGACAGCAGCAACACATGGCAAGGCATCACGTGTTGCGGCTGCCATTTTGTAAGAAGACAACCTGATCTCATCCAAGATTCTCTCTTTTTACATTGACTAGGAAGAATCAAAGAAGGAGAATTTTTCAGTATTCTGGGCAGAGTGACTACTTCTGAGCAATAGCTTCTCTACTGTGTTTTTCAGACTGTCCTGTCCTTATTTACTTTGCAAAAATCATATATTTTTAGCATACTCATATCCGGTTTACAAGTATCTTTTTTCCACTATCCTGTGGAAGTGAAAGGAAAGTCCGATGCTGCAGCAAAGAAAAACATTGGAACCTGGAATGTAAGATCTATTAACCTTGGTAAGCTGGATGTGGTCAAACAGGAGATGGCAAGAATAAACATTGACATCCTGGGCGTCAGTGAACTAAAATGGAATGGAATGGGCGAATTCAATTCAGATGATTATCATACCTACTATTTTATTATACCTACTATTGTGGTCAAGAAGCCCATAGAAGGAATAGGAGTAGCCCTCATAGTCAACAAAAGAGTGGGAA